GCTGCCAAAGTATTTGGAATCTTCAAATAATTTGTTTCCAAGCCTTTGTTATACATGATCATTGAGTAATCATTACTGAAATATGTCCATCGAAAGAATTCTTGATTTTCCCCCATGTATCTCATATGGCTTGCATCTGTGACTTTCATGGCATTCCAAATATTAAAGCACATTGATGGCAACTTTCCAGTGAAACGATTTTGAGATAAATCAATGATTTGAAGTTTGGAAAACTTAGAGTGAGGTTCTCGTTCTATAATCGCACCATAAAAACCATTAGATCGCAAAATGAGAACTTTTAAGTCTTGAAGAGTTCCTAACTAAGAAGGGAAAGTATCATTAAATTGATTCTTGCTTAAGTCAAGCAACTCTAAGTTGGCACAGTTGGCCAATGATCTTGGTACTTGTCCTTGTATTTGGTTTTGACTTCAATTGATCGTTCTCAATTTGCATATATTTCTCCATCTTTAAGGAAATGGTCGTGGAATAGAGAGAGATCCGTGTTTAATATATTATAACTAAGATCTAAAGCCCTTACATGAGCCCATTGAAGGACAATTGGATTTGAAGTTTGTTCCAGACCAAACAAGAAATTATGAGAAAGGTTTAACCACCGCAAGGAGTTTGTACTAATGTTCCATACCCAAGAAGGAATTTGGCCGTGAATGTTGTTGGAGGAAAGATCAAGCAGCATTAGTTCATCTTGGTTTTGCGAGAAGCTAGGGAACTCACTTATATTGCAAGAAGCCAACTCCAAAATTAAAAAATTTTGAATGCTTATATTTGCACTGATTTTATTGAGCAAAGATAGATTATTGAACGACAAGGACAATACGATTAAATTACTGAGCTGAAAAAACATATTTATATCTAATTCCCCAACTGAGCTATTTGAATGTAGCCCAAGAATTTGAAGATTCTTGAGTTTAGAAAGATTTGTAGGAATAGAGCCTTGCAATCTATTTGATGAAAGATCTAAAGCAATTAGTGTGGAAAAAGCTTTGTTTACGGGCGGAATTTGACCTGACAATTGATTAGAGGCCAAATCTAATAACTGAACAGTGTTTTCATACATTAGCCAATATGGGATATCACCAATTAATTGGTTATGATTAAAGAAAATTTCAGAAAATTGTGTAAGGTTCATAAGCCAAGATGGGATAAAAATCAGTAAGTTGACAATAACCTAAATCCAGATAAGAAAGTAAAGTCAAGTTCTTGAGCTGAAATGGGATGTTACCATTCAAGTTGATACCACGAAGACCCAAATTAGTGAGTTTGGCAAGCTTACTGATCCAAGACCATTTACTTTGGCCTTGAAAATAGTTAGCTGAGAGATCAAGAAGTGTAAGATTGGTAAGGTTAACAAGTGAGGAAGGAAGCTGCCCTGTAAAATTGCAAAAGGAAACGTCTTTCTTAAAAATTGAAAGCATTTTATTACTTTAACATAAAAATTGAAAATTTTAGTGACACAATGACTCCATGAGTCTTTCTTAGCATTTTTTTTTTTTTTTTTGGAAGCTGCGCCTGTAAAATGCAAAAGGAAACGTCTTTCTTAAAATTAGAAGCATATTATTTTTCTTTTAACGACATAAAGATGAACAATCTTTAGTGACACATGACTCCATTGATCTTTCTAGCATTATTTTTTTTGTTGTATTATTTTTGAGAAAATGCACGTCTTTTTCTTAAAAAGAAAAAAGAAAAAAACTGTGACTCCCATGTTGTCCATTTTGGTACTGAATTTTAGAAATAAAATTTTTAGTATTTTGTATAGTATTATTATAAATTATATTATGAATTTGGACCCGGAATCAGTCAGATGTTGTAAATCGGATGAATCTGAAATCCGCAGGTCGCATCAGAATCTGTAGTATTTCCTTTCTCTAATTGTTCTAATCAAAGTCTAAGACACAAAAGAATTAATCTTGTATCATTCAATACTGCCCTACACCATTTTTTTTTTTTTTTTGAGAAAATGCAGTTTTTTTTAAAAAGAAAAAAGAAAAAAACTGTGACTCCCTGTTGTCCATTTTGTATGAATTTTAGAAATAAAATTTAGTATTTTATATATTTTATAAATTATATTATGATTGACCCGTGAATCAGTCAATTTTGTAATGATGAATTGAAATCCATGCATCAGAATCTTAGTATTTCCTTTCTCTAATTGTTTAATCAAAGTTAAGACCAAAAGAATAATCTTGTGATCATTCAATACTGCCCTACACCTACAACAATGTTGAAATTCTTCATGATAAAAACATACCCCTCGGCCAATATGTGTTTAAACCTGCTTAATTGATTTTTTCACAATTGTTGCAGAAACAACAAAATTCAAAATTAGCATACTAATCAAAAATAAATCTTGCGAAAAAAAAAAGAAAGAACAATAATATCAAACATAATACATTTTCATCATGAAAGATCATATCCATATTGATCACATCTCTACTTTTTTTAGATTAATAAACTCGCATATCCTACAAAATATCAACCTTATTATCTAATCATCTCTAATGGTATTAACAGTCATCAAAGAAAGAGTATTTCATTATTGAATAAGTACGATAATGAAACAACCAATACAATTTACAAAATGATTTAATTTAGGTTATATATCATTTAAATAGTTGGATAAGAAACTAATCTCTTTCGAATCGAGAGCGATTATATTAAAAACTCTTCCTAAGATGCCAACCATGACTCGATCATATATGATCACTAGGGTGGATCCATTGGAGAGTAAGAGACGGAGGCTGCCATTGCAGGTTTTAAAGAGATAATATATGATCACTAGGGTGGATCCATTGGAGAGTAAGAGAGACGGAGGCTGCCATTGCAGGTTTTAAAGAGATACCGAATATTAACGAAAAAACTTATATAGATATAGATATATTTATATAAATACGGATAAGAAAAATTAAAAAGACTATAAAGTTGTAATTATGTAAATGTAATATTATCTTAAAAAATTAATTAAATAAGAAAAAAATTTAAAATTTTCAAACTCATAATATTCTATACATATCTATCAAACTTTCAAAATATGTTTTACATCCAATCAAATTGTAGGAAAATAAAATAAAATTCTAAAAATTCCTAAAAAAAGAAAAATAGAAGACTAAAGAAGTGAATGTGTTGAGTCATCTCTTTGGTTCGGCCTATATGTATATAATGACGTTGTCTGTGAGTTATCTCTAAAATATTAATTATTTTCAAAACAGAAAAATGAAAGTGTAGCTTTGAGAAGGAATTGCAAATCCAATAACAAAATCAATTTCAATGTATAGGACCAATAATGTGGTTAGATTAGAGAGTAAATTGCATATCTCTAAACATAATTTACTTCTAAAGTCAAGAGTTTAAAACCTAAAGTCATCGGTATTTAAATAGTTTTATTTAAATATTATTTTGAATTCGGATATAAAAACGCGCGTTAAAAAAAGAAAAGAAAAGAAAACAGATCTCAACAGGAAGTTTATACATACACATTCGAGGTTGTTTGCTAGGAAGGAATGATTAAATACACTTCATGATTTTTGAGTATAGTCTATCATTTATCTTCGTTATATTGTAAAATGAATTGTCCATATAATATTATAAAGTTAATAAACTCTAAAATGGAAAGAATTGGAATGTAAGTAAGGGGATAATGGATTTTAGGGTTTAAAATTTGTCCATTCAAAACTGAAAGAAGACTTTGCGGACTTGATAGACATGGCATCGCTTTTAGATTGGCCTAATGTACATTTTCACCGTTAACTTCAGAGATGGTTGCAATTTCACACATAAAACTACATTTATTCCACACAACTTAATTACGAACTTTAATGATAATTGCACCCTAAATGATAAGTAGAGTTAATTTTATCGGTATAAAATTATAAATGGTGGGACTCAAATAACCCATTTGGTTAACTGAAACACCCCATATTTATTGAGACGCACCATTTCAATAACCCAAAATCAATAACAACTACACCTTTATCTCTTTCATCTCTCTAACTCTCTTGTCAAACCCGTCTCATTTGATCTTTCGAGTCCACCTCTCTCTCTATCTCTTAATCTCCATCTATGTACATATCAATTTTCATAAAAAATTTTCTTTTACATCTGACGCTATCCTCTGTAACCTTAAATGGATTATGTCTATCTTTGAAGTGGTTAACTACTTTTCATAGTGCAGCTAGGAAGAAATACAAGCCAAGAAGAAAAAAAAAAGAACTGAATACCAATCCCAGACAGAACTACTTTTCATAGTTCATGGATTATATACACATGTTTTTTGGATATTGCAGTAGTAACATGCATGTGTCATATTTTGGGTTTAAGAACATTATAGGTGTCATGTTTTGAGTTTAAGAGTATTAAAGCTGCACCATGAAAAATTGATATGGACATAGATGGAGATTAAGAGACGGCTGAGAGAGAGGTGGACTCGATGGATAAAAAGAGACGAGTTTGATAAGAGAATCAGAGAGATGAAAGAGATATAGGTCTAGTTGATATTAATTTTGAGTTATTGAAACAGTGCGTCTCAATAAATATGAGGTATTGAGTTAAGTTAATTAAAGGGGTTATTTGTATCCCACAATTTATAATTTTATACTAAAAAAATTAACTCTGTTTATCATTTAGGATGCAATTATCACCAAAATTCAAAATTAGGATGCGCGTGGACAAATGTGGTTTTACCGTGAAATGGACGGTCAAAGTATACATTAAGCCCTTTTAGATTTCATCGGAAGAAGTCCATGCTCGTTTCTCCGTTCTCCGGTGGAAAAATAATCTGGGCCAGCATTAACCTGAGCCCAACTTTGACTATGACTGGGCTATGGCCGCACCAGCGCAGCATCATCCGCTCGTTCTACTTCTTTCAGTTTTTCCCTTCAACTAAATCACTGTAACCTCCAAATAATGTCAAGTCAGGTAGGCAATATTCTTACTGAAAATGAATTTCTCCATCAAGTCTCTATGTTTCTAAACAAGTTTTCCGTAACGGAGGTTAGTGGCCTTCCCTATGTTCCTTCTTTATTGTTCAATTTCTCTAGTTTGATTGAATCCAGTTTCTTTTATCAATTGTAAAGCATGAAAAACTCTCTCTTTCGTCGGTTTTCAACTTTACTTGATTCTCATAAGCCCTTATTTTCTGGGAATTTGGGAGCAAGGAACTGGAATCCAATTCCAATTCCCAATAGAAAGCTTCTTGAACCTAAAGGTCAAGACTTTGATTTTGTTCATGTTGCACATAGCCATCTAATTCATTCGGATTGGAATAAGCTTAGTTCATTATCAAACCATTTGACACCTTTTAGAGTTAAGCGTATTTTGCTAAAGATCCAGAAAGATCATGTTCTTTCGATGGAATTTTTCAATTGGGTCAAAACCCAAAACCCTAATGCTCATACGCTTGAAACCCATTCTATTATTCTTCACATTCTTACCAAAAATCGAAAATTTAAACCTGCTGAGTTTATTTTGAAGAGTATTCTCGTGTCAGATTCAATAGATTTGCCTGATAAGTTGTTTGAAGCCATCCTTTATTCATATAGGATGTGTGATTCCTCACCTAGAGTGTTTGATTCACTATTTAAGACATATGCACATATGAGAAAGTTTAGAAATGCTACAAATACATATTTGCGTATGAAGAGTTACGGATTTTTGCCCACTGTTGAGTCTTGCAATGCTTATTTGAGCTCTTTGCTTGATTTAGACAGAATGGATATTGCTTTGTCATTTTATAGAGAAATGAAGCGATGTAGGATATCATCAAATGTGTATACTTATAACATGGTTGTGCGTGCTTTTTGCAAATTAGGAAAACTTGAGAAGGCTGTTGAGGTATTTAAGGAAATGGATAGTGTGGGAATTAGTCCTAATGATACATCTTACAATACCTTGATTGCGGGGTATTGTCGTAATGGTCTTTTGAACTCAGCTATGAAGCTCAAAAACTTGATGAGGGAGAGGGGAGTTGAGGCAAATGTGATTACATTTAACACTCTTGTTTATGGGTTTTGTAAAGAAGGGAAACTACAAGAAGCTAGTAAAGTTTTTAATGAGATGAAAGTCCTGAATGTGGCTCCCAATACCGTAACTTACAATACTTTGATAAATGGGTATAGCCAAGTGGCAAATAGTGAGATTGGCAGTAGGCTTTATGAGGAGATGTTGAGGAATGGGGTTAAAGCTGATATATTGACATATAATGCCTTGATTTTGGGCCTCTGCAAGGAGGGTAAGACCAAGAAAGCTGCATTTATGGTTAAAGAACTTGATAAAAAGAATTTAGATCCAAATGCCTCAACCTTTGCTGCCCTTATTACTGGGCAGTGTACAAGAAGTAACTCTGACCGTGCTTTTCAATTGTACAAAAGTATGGTGAGGAGTTGTTACCATCCAAATGAAAAAACTTTCATCATTTTGCTTTCTGCCCTCTGCAAGAATGAGGATTTTGAAAGAGCATTTACAGTCTTGATGGAAATGTTCGAAAGATGTATGGCTCCTGGTTCAGATGTTGTATTGGAAATTTACCATGGACTTTGCCAAAGTGGTAAAGATCATTTGGCCAAAAAGTTATGCTGTGAGATGGAAGCTAGACATATCATGACAGAAAGTTTTGACAAAGCTAAACCTATTGAGTGAGGACTGAAAGTGAGATTTAAAGCTCCCTTGCTTTCAGCTTTGCATGGAAGTATAGCTGTTAATCTATGAGCAAAACCAAATGTGAGGTTCTCCTAAAATGTTCAGTTCATGATTTTTAAGAGCATGAAATTGATGTGCTATTACTTAAAAAGTTTATGATTTAAAGTTCTTGTTTCGCAGTCTTGTTCTGATAACTCGTCCTTCTTTGTTCAGTTGCTGGGGTGGACATTTGAAGGTGATGGATAGACAGGTTAAAGGTAGTAGGCATATATATATGATATAATTCTTCAATTGGCAAAGCATTACTGGGACCAGAGGCTTTATATTGAATCCAACCTGGAGATTGGGATTCTAAAAATGATTACATTTCAAAATTTTGTTTCATTGTCAATCATTTAATTTGGCAAAAATTTTACTTCAATAAATACAAATTGAAGAAACTAGTTGAAGAATGCCAGAATCCGATTCAGTCAAACCATTCAAGGAGGGTAGGAAGAAATCCTTGGAAAATGGGCTTTTATATTCAAGCATACCAACTGGAATTATTGAAAAATTTATATTAGTTTTTTTACTTGTTTATTTTGACCCTTTGACTGAAATAGTTAAAAATGATTCTAATTTAAAATTTTGCATAACCTTGTATGATAAATTAAGAATGATGATATTTCTAAAGCAGCCCACTCCTTCAGTTTTGCTTGATTACTCTTGTTGTGTTGTTACCAAAGCTTACTTAAGCTCTAACATTGATGTCAAATTCTGGTGTTCCTATAGTTTCTCTCATGGTTGCTCTGTGCCAAATTTGAGTACAATTTGTAGGGCTTGTTTGCAGTTTATAGAATTGAAATATGGTAACTGTTTAGGATCTCTTTTGTGGTTTTTGAATATTGAGGGCTTAATGAATTGTAAAGGACATTTTTGTGACGACTCTGTTTGAATTTGGTGGCTACCAGATTAAAATCTTTAAAATTGAGAGTAAAAAGAACGCCAAAAAACCACTAGAGACGGTAATGGCAAGTGCTGCAGCGAGAATTCCAGTGAGATAGCAGTTAATAGTGTTTGGAAAAGCATTTTCCAGTGTGGGAACTGGTATTCAACAATAGATAGCAGATGTGTTCCGGTGAAGAAAATGTTGTCCTTTTGAACTCGGTAGATGATGGAGGTGACTCATGGGAGAACTTGTTCAACCACCGTTTAGAACCAGAGTGAAACAGAAACCAATTGTTCAAATGAAATTTTTTACCTTGTTATTAACAATGACATTATAATGTTCAAAGCTAAAAGTTGGGTAAATAAAATCGAACGATATGAACTCCTATAAATTAACCCCTGGTTATCAAAATACATAACAGAAAGAGAATCTACACATTCCCAACTATTGCATGTAATTATGATGGTGGTGCTTCAAAAATGTAGTTTCACATGCACCAATAAAGTATACAACACATTGTTACTCTACTCATCACCAGACTTCATAACCTGAGGATTCTATACTCACTATGCATGTCACGGTTCATCTTCAATAGCCTCAGCAGCAGCTATGTCAGAGTCCAACTTGTTCATCAGCTGCTCACTTATATGTTGTGCCACAGACGTCATGTCAGATATAACGCTTGGATCAATCCCTGCACCTCCTCGTTTTGTCAACCCACAAATGTGCCCTTTCCGATTGATCGAAACAGAAACTGCAGAGCTCATCTGGGATTCCTCTTCTGAAGTAGCATCTACAATATAGTGCCTTCCAACCTACATGTTAGGAAAGCAAATTGAAGATGAAAAAAGAATATGGTTTCTGAAAGCAGGTGAGATAACAGTTAACTGGATCACCTTTGTTAACGTAACTATGACAGGGACATCAGACGTGTCAAATTGAAGAAATTCTTCATCACTAATGTCAACCTCTGGTTGCTCATCGCCTGATACACCAGCTGCAACATGGACCTTTGGGATACCTGTATTGCTCAAAGCAGCCTTTGGCAATGAAAATAAGCACATTATATCAATAACCAGTGTGAGCCAGGAAAATCATTTTATGCCAAAGAAATTCTTTTAAACATGATATTATCAGAGTATTTGCAACAAAATATACAATCACGAGCATGACAATTGTCAGAACCTCGTCTGTTTGTATATATAATAATTTCTGAAGTCCTAACATTTCAAAACTTCCTAAAATTACAAACCATTAGTTCTAATATGAAATAATGATTATTATTCTCATACAGTAAAGGATTTATTTCAAATTGTTCATATCAAAACCTAATACAACCATGCCGACATATTTAATTGATGGTAAAGGTTTTTGTTTTGGCAGATTAATAGGTTTTTTGCATATTGAAGAAGAAAATTAGAGGAAAAAATGTTACCTTTTAAAAGTATTAGGACTCAAATGAATATTAACTTGTTAAGAAAAAAAGTACGAACATTTATCTTGAACTCATACAATTTAGCATTGTAAACTAGCGGTGAGCTACTTTAAATTTCAGTGCTTAATTAAGAAAAAATTTGTTGTTATCTTCCACATTTAGAATATTTTATAGAAAAAATATAAATATCATTTAGATATGTATGAATATAAAGACAGATATGAAGGCAAATCCAAATCCACTTTCATTTTAAATGCACACTTGCCTAAACAAACCATAAGGAAAAGCTCAAAAGAATCCTTGATGGTTTAGCACACTTCAAGTAAAAACAATTTTTTGCATCACTTTAGTAACCAAGGCTTGATCCATTATTATTGGATCATTTTCACTGGTGTCATAAATGTTATGCTTAAATAGCACCCTAAAGGCATAGTATAATACCAACTACTTTATTAATGATGATTTTAATATGCCTAAAAAAGTATGAAATTATTTTTAGTACTTTTTTATCTATATTTTAAAATGATATTTCATCTAGAAAAAAAAAAAAAAGTGGTCAGAGTGGTATCATTTCAGCACCATGAGCTGTCTATTCCTCACATGGATTATACTCAATCTTAATTCTCATTTTACAACACATGGACGTCATATAGAAGTAGAATTTTAATAAAACTAGCAAAACACACAATGATTAAACCTCAAGTACTAAAATGACATTAAAAAAGAAAAAAACAAACTCGCCAAGAAGTGTGAAAGAATTCAAGCACAAAGTATATTCGTGAACTTTCCCAATATGTAGTTATTATTATTTTTTCAAGATTCCTAGGTGCTAGCATATAATGTTGGTACCTTGATTGCAGCACCTAGAGCATCTAGAAGATTTCCATCTGAACTGATGACAAGACCATCAATATAAAGATCCCAACAGACTTTTCCTTCCGCAACTACTAAAGATGATAGATCAATTCCAGCCCCTGAGACAATTTCAACCATTTCATGAAATATCTTACGCAGCAAGACCTAAATGACAATGTATCATTACTGCAAAATGAAAAAAAAAAAAAAACAGACCACATGAGCCAACAGAGTTATGGCTACTGATCTTGCTTTACAAATATTACAAACCTGCTCCACTTTTACTGCCCAGGAGACAACGCTGAAGAGCAACTGAAAGTTCTGCTGACAGGTCCTCGCCTCCTCTCCTCTGAGCAAAGTTGTGAATACAGGAATAGTTCAAGAAAAGAATAATAGTTAGAATTACAAAAAAGATATGTAAACTATGTCCATTCAGTTTTTTTTTTTTTTTTTTTTTAAAAAATGTCAAGAAAAAGAAATAATAGTTAAGTAATACAAAAAAGATATGTAAAACCTATTCGTCCATGTCGAGTTTTTGTTTTTTTTTGTTTTAGAATTACAGAATGAAAGACATTCTCAAATGTCCAAGAAGAAGATTTTTTTTTTTTTTTTTTTTTAAATTACAGAATGGATAAGCATCTTCAAAGTTGCCAAAGAAGACAGTGAAAAAATAATAATTTAAAGTTCATCTGTTATCAAACAATTTTTATGCGTCAAATTAAAAAAAAAAGGGAATTTTCAAGAAAGTTAATTAACATAAATATATATTCAGAAAATTCCTTGATCGTCCTGAACACATGCATGGAGAAATTTAACAATGAGAGGTAATTCCTATCGGGTGCAATAGATGTTTTAAATGAACTACTGATGAGAAAATACATCAGCTGTGGCAATCTGATCACAGATGATAATTGAGATGGGCAATGTCAAGCAGGCATCCATTAAAAGAAGAGATGTTAGAAAGCAAACCTCAAACATTGGTTCCGCAACTGGACTGCAATCAACATATATAGAAACCTTTCCCTTGTCAGGCTGCAATATACTTGGCTTTCCAAGCTCAGCCTGCAGTGCAGTTAAACAAATCAACAATGTATTTGAACCTCCAAAAGAAATTCAAAAGCATAAACATTTCAAAATCTACAATGAAAAGTAGGTATTCAATAAAATACCTTAACACTAGCAATAACCTCCGTTGTGCCTATCCTAACTCGTGCTGAGCCATTTGCCTGTAATGAAACCATAAAAGCCATCACTTGAGAGAGTAAAAAGTACAAAACAACAAAAAAGGTCCCAATTTACGATCAACGAATGTAGACAGAAGAGTCGACTACCTGAGGGATGACTCCAGTTTCAACAAAAATGGGTCGGTAGGCATCTCTTTTCCGACCATCAGAACGGAGATTATGATTGATGCCACCTTGAATAAAATGCTTTTCTCCAACTGAAAGTCCTACCATTTCTTACCATGAACAATTAAAAGAAATAAATAAGAAAACAATAACAGCCAACTGTAAGGCATACAATGAGAATCAAAAGCAACTAGCAGGGATTGACTCGCCCAATTTCTGAATTAAGTAAACCTCACATGCACAATTTCACAAATAGGTGGTGAGCAGTATCAAATTCACAAAAAGGCAAGAATAAAGCACCGAAAAAGATGAAGTTCTCTCTCAGAGGCTAATGCATTAAAATGGGATAAAAGGGAATTAAAATCAAACATCTGGTATATTTACCTTAGGGTTTGACTGGCAGTCCAATAGCAGCCTAAACTAACCGGTCAGGGACAGTGGTGGCACTCAGTCAGCGCAAAGTCAAAAAGTTTGTGTAAGAACCAGTAGTGCTGGGGGCGAAGCTGGGGAAGTGACGCGTTATGAAATAGGAGCGGCGGTTTGGCGGTGGTAGCGGGCTGATGATGTCAATGTGGCGTGGTTGGGCTCTGTAAAGGACCGGCGAATTGAGTCAGCTGAAGAGAATGTCTTTTAATCAGCAGAACGACGCCGTCCGGAAGCGGAATAAAAAAAATTATTAAAATCATTCTTTATTTTTATCTATTTTATAATTTAATGAAACGAATCAAACTCGAACAATTTTCTCATTTTTATAGAGATTTATTAATTTGACTTGAAAAACTAAATACTTGCTCCGTTGAGAATAATTATCATGATAAATTTTAATTGTGAGTAAAACTTACGATGTGCCTTTAAGAGCCTTTTTGGTGTTAAATTGATTTTTTTTTTTTTTTGAAATATTGTGAAAATTAATAATTTTAAAGTGTGATTTCATGCTCTTAAAATTTTATTTCATTAGATTTTGTGAAAATCATTTTAAATTAATAAATCCTAAGGTTCTAACTAATATAGGAAGTAAATCAATATATATATATATATACACACGAAGCAAGCATTTTTTCTTAGAAAGTTGACATGTGGCATAACCATTTGACATTTTAATTTGACATGTGGCATATTTTTCTGATTAGACTTCCACTTGGCATGGTTTGATTTGATTATTTAACGTATTAATGTATTGGCTTGATTGGGCTTGGTTTGAATTTATTTTGAATTATTATTTTTTATTTGGTTTGATTTGATTATTCAATGTATTAATGTTTCGGTTTAGTTTGGATTTATTTTGAGTTAGTGCTTTTGATTTGGTTTGATTTAATTATTTAATGTATTAATGTATTGATTTGGTTTGGATTTACTTTGAATTGGTTGTTTTTGGTTTGGTTTGATTTGATTATTTAATGTATTAATGGCTTTAAGTAATTATTATTAATTATTAATTTTTAAAAAATGATAAAGGGTTTAGTTGGATTTATTTTGAGTTAGTTTTTTGATTTGATTTGATTTTATTATTTATTTGAAAATAAATTAATTTATGATTGAATTAAATCGTTTTAAATGTAATTGATTAATATAACGTTAGAGAATTAATAGTGTGTTAATACTGTATCTTTAATGTTTTCCATCTAAACGTTTTCATTTATTTTTTTTTTTTTAAATAGTGTAATAATGCACTTTTCTTAAATTTTAAATTATTTATCCTCAAGAAACATTTTAGCTTTTTTTAGAAATACTATATATAAGTTGTATCACTGTATTCTTCTATATTCTTAGTAAATGTATATTGGTCTCTACTTTTAAACATATTATTCGTTTTTTTTTGAATTCAAAATTTTTTGCATTTCAACTATTTCTACTAATAGGGTTAATAGTTCTTATTCAAACTTTTTTTTTTCCTTTTTTAAATATTATTTAATATGTTTTTGTAGCTATAAACTATCAAATCAATATTCATATAGATATAATAATATAAAATATATATACTATATATATATATATATAAAGCATAAAGCATGCAGAATTTTTGTTGGTATTGTCGCATAGAATTTCAAATTAATGACATGTGTATGACTTAATTAGATATAAGCTCAATAACAACATGTGGATTAGATAAATTATAAATGATACAAATAATTATAAATAGAATACATCTAACAAAACACCATAAAAAAAAAGTTCATGTATCAAAGCATAAATTTTTTTTAAAAAAAAGAAAAATTACTTCATTAATAAATCAGCAAAAACTTACCCTTACACTCTTCCTAAGATCTGAAATACTAAATGAAAACATCAAAAATCAAAACATGAAATAAAAACTCAGGAGGTAACATCCAAATTGCAACATAAGCATTGGAAATAGCAAGTTATAACCATCAAACGAGTTGACGTCTAATCCAAAACACTTTTAAGGCCTAACATCAATCGTTTACAATTCTTCTCAATCTGCTCTAATGTATTTTGAGGGTTGTAGACTCATGGATACTTAATTGTATCTTTCAAATTGTAAAAATTTTTCATCCAGATATTAAAATTAAAAAGTTCAAACACTAAAAATATATTATTATTTTCATCTACTTTTGAGAGTATATACATCACACTGTCGTTGTCTTCCCATTTAATTAGCAAAAGAAAACAAGAAACACTAACTAAACAAGGTCTTAAAAGGAGCATATTTATACATATCAAATGCATGAATTTGTGTCTTAGGATGAGCAATACCCAATTTCTATCCGAAAATAAAATTAAATGGAACCATTTTTTTATTATTTGATTAGATGCTTTAAAATTTAAGTCAGAAAAATTATTTAATTTTTAATTTTGATTCGATTACTGTATATAACTAATGAAATTATTTTTATACCTCAAATAATTCAAATGTACCAAATCAATTCGATTGAATTTTACCCGGTTTTTATACCACTCGAATTGAAAAAAGTGAATTGATTCAATCTAATTTGGCTCGATTAGTCGGATGTTCACCTCCAATGATTTCAAAAAAATAAAAAGGAATAATATTTATAATATAAATTTAAAATATATCTAAATAATATGATAAATTAGTAAGCTTATTATATTGAAAAACGCAACTTGATCCTTCTAAAGAAAGTTACATTCCTTGCAAGAGAAAATTTGAATGGCTCACTCTTCCAAAAATAAAATTGATAATATAAAAGTATTTTCATTCTCTAACAACAAAAATAAATATACATCATCTACCACATCTTCTATTTCTACGATGATTGGTTGCATAAATAAAAGGATGAAAGAGAATTTAAAACTAAATAAAAAAAAATTGAACTGGCTCAAAATCCATATTAGAGATTGATAAATGTCATTTTTACAGTATTTTTAATATGGTTTTTATTTGGAATTTTAGTAAATTTTATTATTTTAACTAATTTTTACTCCGTTTTAATTACAATTTTGTTCAAAGCTTCCTTAGATTATAATCCACTTGATCTTAAATAAATTTGCAGGGTTTTGGCACAGAAAATAGCATTATAAAGCAAAACACTCAGGCTCTAGCACGCCCAGCCCGTGCATATACATAATCCACTTGATCTTAAATAAATTTGCAGGGTTTTGGCACAGAAAATAGCATTATAAAGCAAAACACTCAGGCTCTAGCACGCCCAGCCCGTGCACATTAGCATGCTCGTGCTAAACTTAAGGGAAATCAAGTGGAGACTCAGATTCTAGCACACTTAGCCCGTGCCTAAAAGGACCTCAGGGCGTGCTTGCCTAAGTATGCCCGTGATGCATTTTATCTTGAAAAGTCAGAGCCTAGCACGCCCTGCTCGTGCTATGACGCACGCCCATGTCACAAATACTTCTCTGGGCGTGTTGCAGAGCACGGCCCGTGCTGAATCATTTACAGACTCAGATTCTGGCATGCCCAACCCATGCCATGGAGCACGCCCGTGCTACGAATGTAAAGCTATTTTGAACTAAAAACGCGAGCCAATCTTTATAGCTTACATGGGCCCACCTCAGATATTCTCCTGACGTGCAAAACAAGATCTAAGCCTATTTAGAAAGAAAGAAGAGTCTTAATTAAGAAGAAATCCAAGCATAAACAATTTATGACCTCCAAAGAAAATTTCGTACTTAATAAGGACTTTGTTTTCTAAACGGAGTTAGATTCTCTCCGAGGAGGTCTATATAAAGAGAGAAACCATTCATTATATAGGTCATCTCTTGCTTTATTATTTTTCTACATAGTTCTCTCTCTCTCTCAAAGACTTGAAGCATTCAAGATTCGTGCCAAGATTCAAGGAAGCCATCCACGTATATGTTGTCTAGTTTTTATTTCTAAACTCTTAATCTTGTTTTTTTTTTTTTTTTTTAATCTTGTATTTTTTTTTTTTTTTTTTCATTATTCATATTGATTATGAAGTTTTATTCAAGTATTATTTAATTACTATGACGAACTAAATCCTCATAATAGGGATTTGATGTAGCTTGAATTCTTTTCCAATTTAGAATATTAGATTTACTATGACGAACTAAATCCTCATAATAGGGATTTGATGTAGCTTGAATTCTTTTCCAATTTAGAATATTAGATTTGTTTTTCTTTGTTCAAAAAATTTATTATTGCACTTAATGCTTCTAGGCAGAGTTTCTCCCCTGGATTGATTTATTTCATTAATCACTATCGGAAGAAGGGTTTTTGATATAAATAGGGTAATAAATTACATGCTTGATATAAATAGGGCGTAATATTAAACATGAGCAAATACATAACTTGATGCGGAAAGCTAATATGGGCATTACATGAGAATAATAACTTGATGCGGAAGCTATATGGTTTGACTCATGGAGGGTTTTCATAAGTTAATGACCTTAGGTTATAAATTCACAAAACGAACCATAAAACTTAATGATTTAATTCATATTTGATTGCGTTATTGGAAGATAGATAATTAGACCGGATTAAAATAGTTAACAATACATCGGGAGAGCTTGTTAGTGATTTTAGGGTTATTTCCCCTACTTGAACAATTGAAATTGATTAACAAACTACTAAAATAAATTGGATAAAATTAAGTGAAATCAAAATCTGTAGTAGTTTTTAAATCCTTGATTTCTTTTCTTTAAATATTGTTGCTTGATTTCTTTATTTTTGTTCTCTTTTATTTGTTTAATTTAATTTCTTAAAATAATTCTCCTTATTACCGTTTAAATAATAATAGATTAATATAATTTTAATACTTAATATACAATCCCTTAGATACGATACTTTTGCACTCCATATTACTTGTTGCGATCCCTTAGATACGATACTTTTGCACTCTATATTACTTGTTGCGATTTAATACACTTGCAAAAATCACTCTGAGAGATGCTGTGAAACAAATAAGAGATGATGTACAATACCCTAGCCCACGGATCAAATAAGACTTTGTTCTTATTGAATAACCATTTCAAATCACACTAGTAATAGACTAATAGTATTAAAGTCCCACCCTATAATTACTCAACATAGACAAATATAGAGCAATAGGCACAGAGGAAGAAATTCCAATTCCAAATACTGCATTTAAATACCATAAGTAACTCAACAGTGAAAGAATGGGCAACCCAAGGCATTACATTTTTAATCAGAAATTAGAAAGAATACATAAATTAGTGGCACAAACCCAAATTGTACCACAGAATCCAATTCCATTGCTACAAGCAAAAGTCTACCACAGTTTCCCATTTTAATCCCTTTTTAAAAAAAAAAAAAAAAAAGAAAAAACCCGTCAGAGTACAAAGCAAGTAACAGCTCGAATACCCCGCCAGAACCTGCATTAATTTAAAAAAAAAAAAAAAAAAAAAAAAAAAAAAAAAAAAAAAAGCCATAAAACAACAGACTAAGTTAATAACCAAGATATAATAATAATACTAATAACTTGATAACCAAACACATCCTTCAACTTCTACGGTCAAACCTAAAACAGTCCCCAAAATAGCGTTTCACACGCCCATCCACATCTCATCTCACCTCATTTGTCAAAGTCACTAAGTACACATCTCTCTCTCGAGTCAGTTATTATTTTGATAACCTCACCCCTCCTGTCACCATCCCTTGCATAACCCTCTCTATTCCCCTACTTTCTGTCAAGTCCTACTCCTACTCCCTCTACCTACTCTGCCCCAAAATCCCATACGTGTATTGTCGCGTCACCTGATGCTGCTGCCACGTGTCTATCATTCCCTACTAATGCGTTGACCTCACCGACTCCGTCCCCAAAACTATCCAAATATTCTCCTGTCCGTTCTATCTCCCATACCCTAATCACACCCCCTGCGCATATTAGCGCGTACCCTCCGTTTATGCACCCTAACATTCCCCTTTGTGGCCTTATGTTAAACCTGCATATCTCCTGTAACGTATCCACCCGGCGCACTCTAGCGGTTCCTCGGTTATTCACTTCAATATACGCCTCGTTCCATACGTCAAAACAGCCCACTATGTTACCTCTCCTGTACTCTTCCTCATGCAATATTACCGCTTGGTTTCTTAAATCAAATGCCATTCGTCTTAAACTCGTGCATGCCACGGCCGATTCTAAGCTCGTGACTCTAACTCGGCCTACCAACTCTGTTAACTCGGTCAGTGTGTGCCAGCCTGTGACTGAGTCCGGGTCGGTCAACAACCCGCCGACGAAAGTCAGCTCTTCAGTATTACTGTCCCATATATGAAAAGCTCGGCCTGGAACTCCAGCGTGGAGGCCCACCCACCATTGTCCACGGCCCGTAAAATCCACTAATGCCCCGTCAGTCACCACGTCACCATAATGGACCCTACGTGGAGGGGCATTGCTGGTTATGATTGCCACGTGGATGTCTCCATCCAGCGTAGCAAAAACCAAGCGGGTGCTCGTTATGATTATACCCGTGACAGCGCGAGAGAAGCGGCCTAGGCGGTCACGGTGCTGGGGACGGAAGGTGCGAGTGTGGTGGCGCGTGCGGAGATCGAACAAGCGGACAGCACCATCTGAGAAGCCACAAGCTAGATGATAGTCGGAGAGAGCAAGGCAACGGCAAATGAGAGCGTCAGGATCATTAGGGTCATCAACATCTGCTGGATCAAAATGAAGATTAAAATGAGATGATGTGCGGGTACGGAAATTCCTCGCCGTCCGGTGACGGTAAATGTACTCGTCACGCCAGGTGTCGTGTAAGAGATGGGTACGACCCCAGATACGGCGAGTGAGGCGACGCCACAGCATATCTGAACGTGATACGGCTCGCCACGTAGAACAGACCTAAAAAAAGAAAAACACGTAGACATTAAGCAAACGATCGCCATGCATGCACGAACCCTCATAAATACAAAGTGAACATGCATATACAATGATATAGAACAAACTAATGGTTCTTTTTACTGTTATTTAATGCAAAAACAATAATTATATTTTACATTGAAATTCTTATAACTTGAGCACTTTTAAATTTTTATATCGAATTAAGATTCTCTTTCTATTTTTTTTTATCAATTTTTATGGGTATCTTTACACTTTTCTATATGAAATTAAGAAATTAATCTTGTTTTTGAATTATCCGAGCGTGTGATCTTACCATATGAACTGTTGTATGATACTACAGACTTAGATCATGTCATCTGATTTGTGAACAGGAAATAAAATAACGGATGTTCATGTGAATGTTTAGTAAAAGAAAGGAGACAAGGTTTTTAGGTTAATTAAATAAAAATTGTGAAAGTACTTCAACATGGCAAGCAGGGTCGAGAGAGAGAGGGAGAAGGGTTTTTGGTTCAGATGTCAGAATCTGAGAAGAAGTCAGAATTCTAAATAAAGAAAAGAAAAGAAGGGAAAGAGCGAATGAGGTTGTCTTGTAGCAAAGACAAAGACATGGAAGCAAGTGGGTACAGAAAAAGGAAAATATGATAAAACGCATCGCTTCTACATATCCTACTATCAGGGAGACTATGACAACTCCCTTCTTTATTGTTACTACAAGAAGATTTTGTTATTATTCAATCCAAAATAGCCACAAGATAAGTACACAAAGTACAATGCGACATCTACACACAATCTTTCCAACACAGAGATAAAACAAACAAGCAAGAAAAGACAAGTTTTTATTTAAAAAAAAAAATAGTAGGTGAAGAAGAAGACCAGAAGACGCCAAAGACTGATTAGCTGTTGTCCAACCAAATTTATATTTTAAATTAAAGAAAAATACAAAAATGTATAAAAACATAGGATTACAAGTTGAGGAGAAGCGTGCTTTCCCACAATATTTCTCTTTCTCTCTCTTTCATTTCCAAGAAAGGGTTGCCCAAAGGCCTGTCTCGTTAAAAGAAGCGAATCTATATATCTTCCCCTAGCTTACCTTTTTCTGCTATTTCTTTGACTCACTTCTCAACTTCTACTACTTCCTCTACATACCTAAAGTATGCACAGTGCTGTATAATTTTTATTTTTTTAAAAAAAAGTATAATAATGTGAAGAAAGAACCTCGAGAGTCATACAAAGAAATAAAAGAAAAAAACAAAAAAGAAGTCACCAACTGACTCTACTCTGGAGCTGATGCAGCGAGAACAACTTATTTATTTATCTCTGAAATGACAAGGAGACGTCAGTTTATAAAACAAGCATTGGGCTCCATGTGCTTTTTGGCATTGCACATGCTGGCTTTTGACCACACAACAATCAATTTTGCAACTTCTCTTATTTTTAAAAGCCTAATGGGGAGGGAGGAACTAATTATTTTTGTTATATATATATATATATTTTTTTTTTTTCTTTTCTTTTCTTTCTAAATAATTGTCTTATTTGTCACATTCTTTTTAACACTTTCCCTTCTTTTTTCTTTTTTTTTTAATTGTTATAAAATTTTCTTTTCTAGTATCAGTTACTTTTGTTACTTGATATTCTTTTTCACTTTCTCTTTGGCCTCTAATGAAAACAATTATTTGAATATAAAAAAGGGGTATTTTTCATTATTAGAGAAACTAAAGCACTAAACCACAATTTCAAGAAACATATTAACTTAATTAACAGTTTAATTTCATTTTCCATTTAAAGAAAAAAGAAAAGATATTACAATATTGTAGAATATTCTAAATATGGGAAAAAATATGAATAACATAGTAGTTTAGAAATGTTAATATGAGAAAAAGACAAATATATTAAGAGAGAGAGAGAGAGAGAGAGAGAGGAGAGAGAGAGGTAAGAATAAGACATAAAAGAAGAAGATCTTGCTTTGCTAGCTTAGACACTTTCCTTAAATCATGCTATATAATATAAACTCGAACACAGGCAACTTAAAAGTGAGCTTAAAATTTCTTATCCACATTTTAAGTTTAGAAAAGTACAAATAGATGGATTTTGTAAAGAGCTAAGAAAGTTCAGTCAAAAAGGGAAGGGAGGGATTCTAGACCTTAAAAAGGCTCATGCCAAGAAAGGGAAAGGGAAAGAGAAAGAGAAAGGGAAATGCAACCCCAAAAAAGCCCTTTTCCTCAAGATTTGAAAAGGGGAACAAAAATAGAATCTCTGTAATGGCAAAAGCCAAGGAAATCAAATGTGATTAAAAATTTTGCGAGAAATGATAATTAAAAAAAAAAAAAGAAAGAAAATTTAGTTAGAAATGGACCCATAAAAGAAATAAAGTAGTTTCAGTTTCATTTTTCATACCTCCTTGGATACTCATATACATCCAAACCCATTACAATGTCAGCATTTCTTCAGTTTCCAAAACTTTGTATTAATTGAAATGAAAATCAGCAAAAGAATCTAAAATCATAATATCAAAATTGGATTTTGTAAAATTACAGCTCCTTGCAGGGCCCCAACACACCACTTTGACTAGACCAAGATTTTGTCTATTCTTGGAGCAATAGATGCATGCATATAAATTACGAAAATAAAATAACAAAATAAAATATTTCTATTGGCTATCTCTCTCTTTAACTGACTGTCAAGATCATTTTTGTTAATTGTTAAAATAAACCCATTAATCTTTATATATTTTATAAAGAAAGTGAATAATATAGTGAGTATATGTATATATAAAAAGAACTAAAAGGATCAAGAAACAACAGGCACCTGAAAAACATTAGCGAGGGCCTGAGCTGCGGCGAGACGGCCAAGAATGCGAGAAGCATCAATGGCCACCTGAGCAGCAAGGGCTTCTACAAATGGCTCAGGCCAAACCTCGTTAATGGCACGTGGACGAGTCCTTGATGGCCCTTCATATTCACCTGCTCTGCTGCTTCCTGCACCATAATGACGACCGCTGCCATTTCCATTGCCATCTTCAGATGAGGAAGAAGAAGACATTTAAAAATTAATCAATCTAAGAATATATAACGAGGGAAAGAAAGAAAAAAGATATGGGCTGCAAAGAAACAAGGACAAAAAGGTGTAGATAAAGACGCAGGATGAGGGTCCCAAAAGAGGGTGTTTGATATATATAGTATTATATGTTTTTTTTTCTTTCTTGAAAGTGCCATTACAATATTATAATTATAATATGTTTTTTTATTGTTTATAATAAAATAAAATAGTAAGCTATTTTTCTAAAGGACTAGTTGAATAGTACGTAATACGTATATATACATTGGCGTTAAGTTAACATTGATTAATTTTTATAAAAGAATTTCATTTTATAATATCCGTGATGTTTGAAATTTCATATCTTTTAAAAAAATTATTAAATTTATTTAAATTATAATAAATTATTCAGTAAATTAATTATATTGTTATTAATTTAATATTAATTTTTAATGAAATTATGAAAATTGAAGTGATAATTATTGTTCATACAGGATAAATATAGAAAAAAAGATTTATTACTCCTTAAAATCACAAATGTGACAAGTATTTTGAAACAAACTATTTTATCGAATATGACAAGTATTATGAAACAGAGATAATAAATATTTTATAATATTTAATAATTTCATTTCAGTAATAAATTTACAAATTATTCTAAACGAATTTCAAGACATTTATAACTAAGAGAAAAATACTTATAAGAGGAATAGCTATGAACACCGAAAGAATATTAATTTTACATTCAAAATAAAACTTATTTATAGTAAAATAACATTCTTCATTAAATTATATGCAATTAATAAATTCTCTTTCTTGATAATTTTAAAAAGACTCTCCTCCACGTTGAGATAATAGATTATAAATCCTCTTTCCAATCCGTTTTGTTTGCATAGTTTGATAAAACACGCATATTTAGAATTTAGTCAATAAAAGTTATTTTTTCCTTTTTACTCTTAACTCATTAAAATATTAAAAAAAATTTCGTTCAATGAACAATAATAAATGTTATTATGAAAAAAATAATTATTTATATATCTAAATTTAAAAACCTTGTAAACATTTTAGGCATCCAAAAAATAAATAACAAATAAAAAAAATGAGATGGAGAGAATAATATTTTTTACAATGCACTCAATAATATTAAAGTTCTAACTAATCAATAAGAAACAAGAACTCATCCTTACCAACTAAATTAAATATGTCGAAATATAGTTATTTAATTAATGTATGTGTATATATATTATATGTATGTTTGTATGGAAATAATATATGGCAAAATATATAAATTTATCTATGTACTCTATAAAAAAATTGTGGCACTTTAAATTTAGTGAGAGAACTATTATGCTTGTGAAATTATATATTTTGATAACATTAATTATATCCCTTTTCATACTACTGATAACATTTTTTTTATATTCTAAAAATTGTACTAACCACACATTAAGTAAATATTTTACAGATTATTTTTAAACTTTTTAAATATTTAATAAGTATTTAATCAATCAAATTTTATCGTTCAAATTTTTAATAATATAATATTTACAAGTCAAAATATTTAATGATAGAATTTTATAAATTAAAATATACGATAACATATGCATAATTATTGTGTATTGTATGGTACTGGGGGGATGGGGTTTTTTGGGTTTTGGGAAAGGTTTCCAACTCTGCAAAGACGGCGGTGGATAAGGTTCGGTATGTTTAGGTTTTATGGAAGGGAGTGAGAGAGAGGCATTGTATTAACTATGGTGTTTACAGGTGTTTTATTACAGGTGCATGTTATAATTTCTTTGGACCAACCTATATTATCTAATTATATTTTTAACGAGTGTGGTTCATAGTTGAAATTATGGTCAGATAGAATTGTTAGAATACATGTACATGTTGGGGTTTTGTCTAAACCTGCCTTCACTGCAAGCTCACTGGAACCCCTAGACTTTTTACAGGTCAAATGGTTTAATGTTCCAAATTTCAGTTGCCCATGTTAAAAAGGATTTTGTCTTCTTTTTTTATTTTTACTTATTGAAAAGTGAAAACAGAACAAGATTTTGTCTACATTTTTAGTTTTTATGGAAAAAAAATCACTGAGCACGTAAATTCACTCGTCAGTTTTATTGCATAATTTTACAGTACTTTCAATTCTCACGGTGACTCGTTAAATCTTCAAGTTATAATATTATATCTATTAAAAATTTTAACTTAAAAATTATTTTATCTAATATTTTAATTTATAAAATTAGATGAATTAAATATATATTAAATAATTAAAAAAAATATAATAATTAAAAAAATATAAAAATTATTACTTAAAAAAATTATGCTAATTACGTATCAAATTAATATTTTACATACATACAATAAAAAGTTTCAAAAAAAATTTATTGATATTATTAAAATTTATAAATTGAAGGGCACATAGATTATTCATAAATTTTAGAGTTTGATAGAATTAAAATTACAAAGTTCATAAATAAATTTATCTATTTAACCATTAAAAATTTAACGATTAAACAAGATTCATATTTCATTAGAATCTAGGCAACTAAAAATTATTTCAATGAGTTGTTAAAAATAATTTCTAACATTTTAATTTAAATGCTATCTCCGTTCTATTTCAAGTCTCACTTTATAAAATTTTTTTTATTCCACTTTATTTGTCATTCCAAAAAAAAAAAAAAAAAAAAAAAAAAGAAGAATACAACAAAAAAAAAAAAAAAAGAAAGAATAACAAAATAATTGTTATTTTAATATTTAAAAAATATCTTAAAATATACTTAAATTGTATAAAGATATCACTAATTTAAAGCATTTTACCACTGATGATTTAAAATTTCCATTGAAATGCATAAACTTCATATCTTTAAGTATTAGGTTTGACCCTTCAAAAAAATTTTTTTTTCCCATTCCTCATTATATACCATGAATATTATATATTCTGCACTATTAATAGGAATACATATTACATGACTCTTCAATTCTTAACAACAAGCTAATAGCTATAAAAATAATTTCCTTATTTCACTTCATATATCATTTGAGAAGGTGAAGGATACATTAATTATTTTTTTATAATTTTATTTTTATCTCTTGGTATTTCTGTAACAATTATTTAAAAAGCTATTATTGATATAATTTAATCAAATATAATTACTTTTTGAGAAAAATATTCTTAGGGTTTGCAAAATATAATCAGTCCGTCCCTAACTTTTTAAAATACACTAAAACGTATCTATAGTTTACTTTCATCAGACTATAAGGTCCTTCCGTCTAATTTTTACATTTTCTCTGTTAAGTATCTTATGAAATGACAAAAATATAGCCTTTTTATTTTTAAAAACACAAAGACATACTAGTTGTATTTTTCCAACCATAGAGATTGTAGTGTAATTTTTTTGATATAATATTTTAGTATCTCTCCCTTGAACTCTGTGTTTTCTTATTGACGTAACAGAAAAGATGCAAAAATTGAACAGAATGACCTAGTAGTGTAACGGAAGAAAAATATAAGAAAGATTTGTGTATTTTAAAAAAGATATGGACAGATTAATTGTATTTTGCAAGTCACAGAGATCGTACTGTATTTTTCCCTTATTTTTTTATAATTGAAGTTTTTAATAATTTTTAAATGAGAAAATTACAGAACGATCCCTGTAATTTGCGAAATACAACTAGGTCATCTATGTCTTTTAGGAAATAGACTAAAATATTCTTATAGTTTACTTCCATCATACTATAAGGTTCTTTCATCCAATTTTTACATTTTTTCCATTAATTACCTTATAAAATGATGAAAATACCCATTTTATTTTTAAAAATACAAGAAGAGACTAATTGCATTTTTCAAATCATAGTAACTGTATTATGATTTTCTGTTATAATATTTTACTTTCTCTGCTTTAAAATCTATGTTTTCTTATTGACTTAATAGAAAAGATCAAAAAATTAGACAGAATGACCGTATAGTGTAACAGAAAAAAAAATATAAGAACAAATTAATATATTAAAAAAAAAAGAACGGACTAGTTATATTTTGCAAATCAAAAGGATTGTACTATAATTTTCCCTCTTTAAATTTATATACCTTAAACTAGACATGACCTTTGTTTGGTTTCATAATGGAACCGAATCATACTTGAATTGGTCAAATTGGCACTGATGTGGTCTATAGTTCTTGGTTCCAAACTATAACCGAAACGGCTTAATTAAAGTTTGGTTCTAATTTTTCATTTTTTAAAACCATGAAAAACATATTTTTAATATTTTATTATTAATTTTTGAAACCAATTTTAAGAATTTTTATTAAATTGATTTAATTTTTTCCAATATTAATATTTATTATTATTATCATTATTTATTCAAGCTATAAATCTAAAAAGGAATTTTAAAAAGTTGGAAATAAATTATCTAATTTCGGTTTCAAATCGAAACCGACAATTTTAAAACCGACAATTGAGATGGAATAAAGAAATAACCACCATACATAATATGAAGTGTATTTGGTTTGAGAAAATAGCAAGACATACATAATTAAAAAAAGAAAAGGGGAAAAAGAAAGAAAAAAGGTTGTAACTTATTGGCATATATATGTTTGTATTTAAAGAAAAACTTTTTGATAGTCTAATGGAAAAAGATAATTGATTTTGACTTTAGCGGACAAAGAGAGAGTTTACAAGAACAAAATCAAGCGTGAAGCTGATGTCCCCCAACTCACCCACTCCACATCATTCCTGATCATTATTTTCTTCTACTTAACCATGGTTTGTATTAAGATTTTGATTTCTTTCTCAATTTTATTTCTTTTTCACTAATTCTTGTTTTATTTAATTTCTCCAATAATGTAAATTCTAGATTTTTTGAAGTAATTCTGAATTTCATGGCCTTATAATAAGGTTTGCTATGTACAGTTTGTCTAAAGTTGTAGTTTACTCCGGCTTGTTCAACTCCGTTGATACAGTATATTTTTTTTTAAAAAATAAAAATAATACTGCACCGATTTATATCAATGTTCATATCTAATTTTACTATTGTATTTATCAATAAACAACAACTTTTAGGACAGTATTTAGCAATTTAACTATAGTAAAAAATACCAACTCTGTTGATTATAATGTTTTGGTTGGTAATGTAATATTTATAGAACCATTTAGAAGTGGGGGAAATATTTCATGAAACAATATTTCCATTAACATTTAATGAATTTTGCTTTAAAAAATTATATAAATAATTGATAACTAATAGTTAATATTTAACAACTAATAAAACAATTGACTGTAATTACAACCGCTAAAAACTATTAAAACAGTTAACATTGCTGAACATGACCATAACGTAGTTTTACTATTTTCTATATAATGACTAATATATACTTTGATTTATTTGTTCAATTTCTCTATGAGAAGACCAGTGGATAATTATTTTTATCTATTTTTTTAGATATAATAAATTAATTGCAAATCATATTTAAATAAAAAATTTTATTTTTTTATTAATTTAATTAAAAGGCTCAATAGATCGAAATAACATAAAAAACTACATAATAAAAGGTAACATTCTTATCAAATTAACGAAAGTTATTATTGTTAAGAGGACTCGAACTCACTCTTCGTATCAGTAAAAAGGTTAACATGATCAAATTTGGTGGGCATGAAATTAGAATTTTGTGTATAAAGTATTTTATTTAGTGCATCCAACAAATAAAAGATTAAGATAATGATGATAATTTATTAAGAAAATTATAAATTATTTAAAATTTGGATAAATATGTGACTACCAATGTTTGGCAACTAAAGTAATCTGCAAAAAGAGTTCCTGTCTCTACGTATGATTTCATTTTAACATAAAAAGACTAATTACGCGTGGACCAAATCAAACGATCTTTATTCTTCAACCAACTACCTCTATCCGAATTGAAATTCCACAATTGATTTCACGTCAACAGTAGTCAAGGTCAAATATGATTATAATTTACGTAAATGCATTAAAAAATAATTTGATTGAAAAATAAATTGTATTAAAAAAGAAAAGTAGTAAAGTTGTAAAATTTCCACCCTCCAACTACCTCCTTGGCCCAATGAAATCTTAGCTAAGATCTCTCCAACTAACTTTTAAATATTTTATATATTAATTAATGTAAAAATCTAAAAAGCAATGTACCATTAAATTATTATTAATTAAATAATAATTGAACTAAAACATTATAAACCCAACCGAATCAATTTGATTTTTAGTTTTTGACTTTATTTTTTTTTTTAAATTTGATTTTCATGATCCTACATATTTTTTTTTTCTTATATATACTAAAAATAATGTGAAGGAGAAAAGTTTAATCAAATTGAACTAACCGGTTTAATTTATTTCATCGAATTTTGATCAACTTTGTTCACGAGTAGAATCAACTTGAAAAATCAAAACCCTTGTTTGAAAAAGAAAAAATGAAAAATAATAAGGAATTATCGACTTTCTTTCCATAACTATTTTCCACTCTTATATTTGAATATGATGTTATTTTTCTTCATTTGGAAACGGTAAAATTTTAGAGAAAAGAAAATATTATTATTAAAAATTAACAATTATATCATCAATTAAATAATATGAGATTTACGAAATTGTTAAAATTTATTAATTAATTTTGGATGTTTGAATAATTTAATAAAAATGAGAAAATTTTGACTTTTTTTCATAATTGAAATGAAAAATAAGTGAAATATTACTTTATTAAATATTTTCCTCTAATTTCTCAAAATTTTGTTTCAGGTCCCAAACAAGGGAAAATATTCTTGTCTACTCTCATCCAAGCAAAGGATAAGAGTCACCATTTTTCCTATGAACATGTCAAGCTACATAATGATATCTAAAGCAAAATTAATTAGATATCTCAAGTTTGATTCTTGCTAAAGATAAAATATTAATTACACATGTTAATCCTAATCATGTATCCCTAGATTTGCCTCATTCTTTCTTAGTAAAAAATCATTTGGTTTGATGGTAGAATGTTCTAATTTTATTTTTTTCTTTCACAATGATAGCCATTGTTGCGAAAACACTGTGATGATCTTCTTCTTTTCTTTCCTTTTTTTTCTCCCCTCCTTCGAAACAAACCAGCAAAAATTCCTCACAGAAGAGGGATTGGTTTAGTAATGTCTGTTGACCTAGAATAAGGGTTTCTTTATGACCGGAATTGATTGGGGAAGACGATGATGTGTTAATTAATAGCATTGAATGGTTGTAATGCAGCAGAGAAAAAACCTGTGGGCAGTGGGTTTGGAAGAAAAAGTACAGTAATGCATCTCCTTTTTAGTGGGTACTGTCAGGCTAGTCTAGTTTCCTAAAATCTGCCAGAATCTATTTACGATACTGAACCTATAAACACATATAGCTATAGGCTTTGTTTGTTAGATTCTTTAAATCCACGCAATGGATCTTTTGAAAAGGATATCAATGTGGTGGGGCTCACCTACCATTACTATTTCTTCATCATCTACATCACTACATGTACCAGAACAACCACAGTACTTCTCCTTCGTTGTTCTTTTTTTTTTTTATTATTGTTACTATTTTTTCTTGTTTTGTTTTTTTTTCCAGATGTATTTTAATTAATTTTGCCTTGTTGAATTAGTTTAAGGCTTGCTTGAAGTTAACGAATGAAGCTCGAACTGTCTGTTTTTTGAAGTTAATGAATTGAGCTCCTACTCTGTCTGTTTATTAAATGAACTCGATAGCCTAGCTTGAGCCAAACTTAATAAGTTTATTAAACAAGTTTTCAAATGAGCTTTTATTAAACCAAGCCGAGTTGCAGCTCTCAGCTCTCAGCTCATTTACCGTCTTAATATAGAAATACATAACTCTTAGAATAGACCGTAAATGCTTAACTTGAAAAAACTCGTTTGAATTCGTTATATAAACTTAATAAGTTAAACTCAAACCTATATTTATCGAACACGTTTAATAAAGGAACAGTGTTCGAGCTCGATTCATTAACTTTGTAGCTAGCTTGTAAACAAGTTGTAAACGAGTTATTTATTTTTATGAAATTGGGACTAATGTGCTCCCAACTGGTTTTAGGTGCGTCTCGAAACCACCATTATGGTCGGATTCCAGACTAATTTTTACTGGTCAGTTCTAGTTCGAAACGGTTTGATGGCACCTCTAGTCCTGGGAGTGGCAACTTTAAGCTACACAGAGAAGGTGTTAGGCCATTGGTTTAGATAGATATCAATCTTAATGCATAAATGTCCATTGTTCAGATTGATTCGGTTTGAAAACTTATCCAAATTAAATCTTAAACACAATTTATAAAAAGTTAAAAATTGAACCATACCATCAAAGGTGCTCAAGTTGATCAAACCTATAAATGCGGTTTGATCAAACCATACAGACTTGGTCAGAGCTAATAATCCAGTGATCATTATGTCTTGGGGTATAGGAGGTCAGGAATAAAGTAAGTGTGATACTCCTGCTGTATGAACAATATTTAGAATTAACCTTTGTTCAGAAATGAACTCTCTTTCTTGTATGCAGGAAATACAAAGGCAACATAGACTTACAACATGGTTTTGTGCAGTACATTAGAATTTACTATGTTCCCCAAATTTGGGATTTTGAGTTTCAGCTCAGGTCTGCCATTGGTGCATTTGGTCACATCCACAAATAAATCCAGAATTTAACCATTGTTGATATTAACTATTTTGCTTGCTTTTATACAATAGAAAAATACTCGATGATGACAACTTACATCTTAATTTGAATCCTTAAGTCGTTTAAAATGCTCTCTGCAGCTTCTAAACCAATCCGTGTGAGCTCTTAGCTATTCATGAATATCGCTGCTAAGATCTCCCCATCGAACATTGTGTTTTGCTGCAAGATAATATGCTCCAACCGGACCTCTGCTACCATAGGGGTAAAGCTCTGGAATAATTTTCTTTTCCTCGAGCTCCTTTAACAACGGAGTGAAAAGTGCCCATGCAGCATCAAGCTCGTCACTTCTGATGAACAACCTTCGCTCTCCTTCTATTGCATCTAAAAGCAGCCTCTCATATGCATCTGGTATTTCTCTTGTATACCTTCATATTCAATCACAAGTGTCAATTACCTTGAGGAAAAAAGATGCAAGTCATAAGACTATCAGAGGAAAAAAAAAAAAAAAAAAGCTGAAAATGGAACTCTTTTTTACGACTCTCATTAGGACAATAATGTTGCCTTTACAGTTAAAAATTACCTCAAATTTGCCTGAAAACTATTTAAGGATGATGGGCCTTGGTGCAATGGTATTATGGGAAGATAGCTCCATTGTGATTAGAGGTTCAAAAACTACTATAGAAAAAAAGCCGAAAAAAGCAACTCCCTTTTGTTTCTCATTAGGACATAATGCTGCTTTACAGTAAAACGTCATCTCAAAATTAGCAAAAAAAACTATAGAAGGATGGGACTTGTGCAATGGTATTATGGTAAGATAGCTCCATTGAGATTAGAGGTTCAAACCCCAAGGGGAAGGTTGTATACATCTAAGCTTCCCCCAATGCCACAATGATAGAATCTTAAATGAAGCTTAGATATGCCTATTTCAAGCGTCAAGTAATTCATATCACAAATTTAGGTTGGTAAATAATTAGAGTATTGACATAATCTCTGCAGATCATCTCTATGTAAATATCGTACCTTGCTCGGTATAGCAAATTTAGGTCACTGCGATCTAATCTCATTCCAAGACCAGGAACTTTGTTGTTAATCTTCAGATATATAGCTTCATCAGGTTGTACACGGAGTACAAGCTCATTTGTGGCCTTATCTAAATCGGTTCCAAAATTCCGCTTGTACAAGTTACCCGGGACATGTCTGAACTGCACTCTGATCTCTGCTCTGGATTTCCATCAGAACATCTCTAGGTCATGAGATCACTTATATCCCATCATGTGATGACAGTAATGAAGAAGGCATGATCCTAGTTAGAATTTCTACCTACCGCTTAGTGTGAAGAGCTTTGCCTGCTTTCATAAGAAAAGGAACTCCATCCCATCTGGCATTATTAATGAAAAGAGCTGCAGCTGCAAATGTTGGTGTAAGACTATCCTTTGGCACAGTTGGATCATCTGTATAAGCAGGGTATGATTTACCACCCTTGCTGTGACCCTTATATTGGCCAACAATCACATCTTCAAGTTGGAGTGGTTTCGTTGACCTCAAAACCTTAACCTGAATCAACCAACCTCATCAAGTCATCATATTAATGATCAATTCATAATAATTGCAAGGTGAAAAAAAAAAACTCTTGATTCTAAATACCTTTTCATTTCTAATGTCCTCAGCATCCAAGCTAACGGGGGTCTCCATCGCAAACAATGCTAGTATTTGTAGCAGATGGTTTTGCATTATATCTCGTATAATTCCATAGTTATCAAAGTATCTGCCCAAATGAATGAACAAACAAACTTCAAGAATTCCATACCTAAGGAAACAGTCTTATTTTAACAATGTTATATCACCTTGTAACGTAGGTCACTCACCCTCCACGTCCCTCTGTACCAAAATCTTCAGAAAAGATCAGTTGCACATTGCGGATATAGTTTCTTGACCATAAAGGCTCAAAAACAAGATTTGAGAAACGAAGTACTGATAGATTCTCAACAAGCTCCTTGCCTAGGTAATGATCAATCCTAAAAAAATTTTAACATAAATAGAATTGTCCCTCCAATTATTATGAATATATTCTAATGAATGGCAACTCAGCAAAATGAACCTGAATATTTGATCTTCAGCCAGATACTGCTTCAAAGATCTGGTTAACTCCCCAGATGACTCTGAGTCACGACCAAATGGCTTCTCAACAATTACCCTAGTCCACCCATTCACTGAAGAAGCTCTAAGGCTAGCACATCTCACCACATCCACAAATATGTTTGGAGGGATTGATAAGTAAAACAGTCTATTTGACAATTTTCCAGCCTAAAAAGGAGCATTTCGTTTAATAATCAGTTTGCTTCTTTATTGAGGCATTGCCATCAAATGAGAAAATGCTCATCTTTTGTGTCCTAAATCATGGATTTGGAGTCTCCTGTTAGTGCAAACATGATCTATTGCATAATCTCAACTATTAAAATTCAAGATGAACAATTGAGAATTCTTTTCAAACAATTTTATATTTCAGAAAATTAGTAGTTATTCATTAGATGATATACCTTAACAATTCATTTCGAAATTTGAGTACCCAGTGAAGATAGAATCAGCATAATAACTCATGTTTACACAAATGTAACTCATTTCATGATAAATATATAATGAAATAGCTGATGCAGGGCAATGGCATGTGTTCATCACATGACCTGAGCATACTATTTGATAGTTCAATTTGGCAGAAAACCAAAATTTTTCATACCATTCTATATCTGCTCCTAAAATCTATTTATAACCAGCAACAGGTGCTACATTTAGTACAAAAGACACTGTGAAATACAGATACGCATACAATAACGATCAAGCTCTTACAAGAACCATAAGACATCACCTCTTTCTCTTTCAGCTTTTTGTCCAATTCCAAAAAGTGTTCCTCAGAGTTATATTGACCTGCCTGGTAAAAGCATCTTTTCAAGAACTGATCCATTTTGTCTTCACAATTTTCTCTGTACATACTCTTCCATGTTAATTAGATGAAAAGAAAGTCCAAATAATAATTTTGTACCAGTAAAAATGGTTTAGCAATGTAGAAAACCTCTTGTCTATTCTGCAAGTCAATGTCTGGCTAATCATGTTCCTTAACTCTTCATCAGTTAACTTACTTCGAGCATAACCAAATACAGTAAAGTTCTTCATTGCCAAAATTAAAAGAGAAGATTGGAAATCGTCAGTTCCCATCTTTGTGGGATTGATGGCTAATCTGAAAAAAACTTAATCTGACTCCATTATCACAATATGAAACTCAATAAGGAAACAAAATTCAGAACCTCAGGTAGCCAATCTTCATAGAAAAGAGCAAAAAGTGCAGGAAAAATCTTCTTCTTAGCAAGGTCTCCTGAAGCTCCAACAACAGTAATGCTGAGAGTAGACTCCAGTTTCTCTGCTTCAGAGACAGGAATGGATGACCCCTCCTTTCTTTGAAGTTCAACATGATCTTTGGGTAGATGATTTCTAGCTGAACCTACTCCAAAATCTCACCTAAAGCATTAATATTAAGTAATGGAACAAAAACAAGAAGAAAAGTGTGCAAATTTAATGTATAGCAAACATATGGGCAGCCTTGGAAGAGCATAGGCATGTGATGAAAAGCTATGAAGCGCATTCACTGAAACAAGACATGTTTCAACACCACAAGATACATCAATATGACTACTCATAAATAAATTAATAAGTATCCCATATGACATGCACAGTAACTTGTCCACAATTAAAGTGTTTGGTTTTTATAGTTGAAATGTTATTAATGCAAAACAATAAGATTATTCAGTGCTCATGCTATGTGACAAATATGCCAAGATGATCAAGTTTCTCAATATCCTTTTGACTTGTTCCTCAAATGCACTTAAAACTTAATTCTTTTAACAAATTCAGCACCAAATAAACCATCCTACCACAGTACCTTGAATTGGACATTCAGAGAGCATGCTCATTGTTGGGGAATCCAAGAGCTAATACGCATACGTACCCGTTAGACAACCAACAGAAAGAAGAAAAAAGATATTTGGGATATCAAAGTACAGTTAACATGCACTCTTCAGTTTGGCTATGAAATCCTAAAATATGCTATTTCAAACCCAGAATCAACTAACAACCAAACAAAAAAACTAATGAATCATTGCAAATACAGTCTATACTGCGATCAAACAATAACATCAGAAAACTATCCTAAAATTAGAAATTAGAGTAACTAAAATGAAAAATTAAAAAACAGACATGGAGAGTTGAAGCTCATGGATCAAGAACTTACCATCCTGCAAAAAGACAGCATTTAGAGGATGCCCATTGGAGGATTTGAGGCGAAAATGCTTTTTAGCACGGATTCTTGAATGAATATGAGATACCCATATGGAGAAATCAGACTTTCCTGGCACAGAAATGAATCTACTGAACAATTTTGCTTGATTCTTGAAAGACGAAGAAGAGGGAGAAAAGTTTGTTGAAGAAGATGAGCAAGGACTGAAACGTGTTGTTGCCATTTCTTATATCAAGAGCTATGAAAATGAGGCTTTAGATTAAAGAATTATAGTTCAAAATATGTTGGAATTGAAAACCATACACACATATATATAAATACGAAGAAGAAAATATCTGAACTATATCCATTACTTTGTTCAGGCTAGACATATGGCTTTTGAGTAGTTGAAAAGCAGATAATTTGGAATTAGTTTCAAATGCTAAAGAGATATCGTATGTAAGGCCCAGGATTTTTCTAATTATTTTGCTTTTCTATTTAAAAAAGAAAATTTAGTTTGAGCAATTTTTTATAACTTGCTTTGCAACTCCAATGGTATAATATATTTAACTTAATTAGTTCTTTTTCCTTTTTTTTTTTTTTTTTTTAAATGGATTGAGGTTTCTTTGATTTAACGAGGGAAACGAAAATGATACATGAAATAAACATATAACCATAATTTATTGTGAAATACATAACTTCACCTATATACTATACATCAAAAATCACATTATCCCTTAATTTTTGTTTCCACTTATTAATCACTTCTAACTTATTATCCCTTAATTCTTTAATTGATGCTTACATTTTTGTGAACCAAAATATAAGACAAAACTGAATATAATGTATTTAAATTCCTTTAGTTAGAAAAGCAAAATCGTGATTTCAAGTTAGTTTAATTTTATTTTTTATATTTATTTGATTATACTCAATTTTTATATTTTTAAAATTCAACTTTTGGGATTATAATAGTTTGGTTTCGTAAAATTAAATGTTTATCTCTCTTAAACTCAATCTAATTATACAAAAATATAAATTATAAGCAAAAGCGATTATCCTACTGTTTATTCGGGTATGTTCAGCAAAATTAACTGTTTTATTAATTTTTCATAAAATAATAAAAGTTAAACGTTACATGAGTTAATTTTTCATAAAATGCTACTTTAAATTCTAAAAGTTAGTTCAAAGATTATGTTACCGAACACTATAAACAACAATATTTAGTCAAAACGTTAAAAATTACTTAAAAAGCTACTGTGAAACACAACCTTATGTATAAAAACATAAAAGATGACTTTAACATTTGGTAAAATGGAAGATTAAGTGCTAAGAATTTAAAACTTCAATTTTAAGCATAGTATATTATAAGTAGTAAAATTTTTAATTTGTAAAATTATCCAATAATCCACTAACTTATTAGACTGAAGTTAAAATTTCCTAAATTACAATTTTATGCTAATCTTAACTCAGTTGACATTTTTATAATACATAAATAAATATTATTAAATAATTAAAAAAATTTTTTAAATGAACTTTAAAATACTAATCATTTAAAATTTTATATTTTAAGTTGAATATATATTAGAGTTCTTCATTTTAGCCTCTCTAAGAGTCGGGTTCGTATCTCAATCTCAGTGTAATACCGAGTCTTAATAGGGCAATTGTCATTGCTTATTGATGAATTCAGTAATAGATGTTTGTGGGCATTCCAACCTTCCTTACTCATTAGTGTCAATTAGGCGGTTTATATATATATATATATATATATATAATTAAGAGATGTAATCCCTTTCGAATCATAAAATATAAAATTTTTAACCCTTCCAGCAAAATGTATTTCATAGAAATCTAACTTATATTTTCATTTAGTCGTTTATTATTCCAATTAACACGTTGATTACAGTTTGGTAGACTTTTATTGCTGTCTACAGGGGCTTTGGATTAATAGGTTTTAGTATGACATAAGCTATGAAGCAATGTAGATGGCAACTCCCGCGAATGGTAAACTAATCAAGTAAGTAAATCCAATGCAGCAATTATTATAGCTTTGTCAATTGCCACGTGAATAATTGCTTGCTGCTTAAATCTCAAGAAACTTAACAAATTATATTCTCTATTAATCATGACTTTCACTACCCTAATTATTCTTAACTCGTTAAAGCAGTTGTTCTACTTGATCCATCAACATTAATGTTAAGGTTAACTTTGAATTTCTTTCACTAACTTGTTCTTTTTCTTTCATTCATTGAAGTTACTAATTTCTTTAACTGTTATCGATAGAAATTTGGATAGATAAAAGTGAATTACATTTAAAATTAAATTAATCGTATTTTTGCATGTTGTATGGGTTAATACTTATAAATGATTTATTATTAAAGAGTTACATTATGTTTATATTTAAAAATTATTTTATCAATTATTTATTTTATTTCATTTATAGACTATAAACAGTTATATCATTTTATTAATTACTATAGTTTTTTTGCTAAAATAAAAGATTCATAAACATGATAAAAATAATAAAGAAAACTGTAAAAATATATAAATAACTGATTCGAGTTAAGTTTGATTATAAGATAAAAAGAAATAATATATGTATCATTTATTCTTTTTCTTAAAAAAATATTTTTTTTAGTCTTTAATTATTATATAATTTAAAAATAATAAAAGCACTCTGCTCTAACAAATTTAAAATAATAAATTCATCTTCTTAACTAAATTAAAAATAATAAATATAAATATAGGTTTTGCAAATTGAAATAATCTATTCGTAAAAATACATGAATGTGAAAAAGGAAAGAAACTTCATCGGTGAGTGACCATTAAATGTCTTTTGTTCAAAATGTTATTTTTTATTACTATCCAAACAAATGTTGAATTTGAAAAAGAAAATAAAAATTTGTATGACAAATAAAGTAGATGTAATACTCGGATATATAGTACTCAAAAAGGAATTAAAATTTTTTAAAAAATTAAAAGATAATTAAATTATAAAATAATAGATTAATTTACAGTCTGATTATTAATTATTGAAAAAATTGATTAATATTCTACTATTAATGTAAAAAATTTATTAGTTGGATTTATTAATTATTGAAAAAAAGAAACCAAAGAGGTTTTTTATTAATGAAATAAATTTATTATATGGATATTCATTATTGAATAAAGAAAATGAAAAGTTTTGTAATTTAATTTTTTTAAATTAGATAATTAAATAAAAATATTAAAAATTTAATAAATAATAAAATCCCACGATACTAATTAAATTTCATAATATCATACTGCATGAGTAAAGTTGGTTAAGCTTTTATATATTTATATAGAAGATTTTACTTGCAAAGTTAGGATTTGAAAGTAAAATCATATTGGTGGAAGAATTTTATTCGAATATCACATCTTACCGGTGAAAATAAGTGTAAAAATAGAAATGACAAGATAGAAATTAACTATTGTACAAAATCTATAAATTACCTTTTAATTAAGGGGTGAGCAGTATTCACTTCAGATCGAACAAACTCATTTTATTTTGATTCAGTCAGCATTCTAAAAGTTCGGTTACCATTTGGTTTGAATGGTGATAATTGAGTGGTCTTTGATTTTTGGTTCGATCACTTACATAGCTAATTGAAGTGATATGTACAGACAAAATAAATGATTTGGTTCAAAATAAGCAAATCAAACCTAAATCAATCCGGTTTGATTCAGTACCAAACTGATTGTCATGCTTCGTCGGATTCGGTCATTTTGAAATCTATTTGGTCAGATCGAACCGAATTCAGTTTGATACCAACTTGATTTTCATGCTCTGCGGTTCAGATTAGATCATTTTAAAATCTATTTGATCATATTGAATCAAATCAGTTCAGTTCATTCCGCTACTTTTAGTTATAGTATAAAATCTAGAAGTTACCTTGAAATGTCAATACAACAATAGTCAGGCGCCATGCAAGGACAAAGGGCAGCTCATCCCAAAACAAAAATATTAAGGGTAGTTGACTGACTTATTCAGTTCCTAATCTATAGAGTAATAAGCAAGGGCAGTTCTGACATAAAAAAATTAAACTTGCAAAATTAACTCCATAAGTACCCTCCATGGCTCCATCTCTCTTTATCCCCATAGTTAACAAATCTCAGAAATCCTCTCATTATAGTTAATTCACTTCATACCCTCTCACCATCTCCTTTCCAGTTGAACAGAAAAGGATGGAATTGGTCAATTTGAGCAAATTCAGCAACACTCATTCTCTGCAGTTAGTCACTAAATACTTTAGCTCTGTTTTTTACTTCTCTGTTTTATTACTCTGTTCTTCAATATTTCCTTTCATAATCAATTTCATGCAATTCTTTTGCTCTTCCATTGGAAAGAACTATATGTTTCTTCTTTGCAATGGAATTCTTGTTTTTATTGCCAAGTTTTCTGGTCTAATTGGAAATTCTTATCAAGAAACTAGTCCAATCAAGAAAACGGAGGAAAGAATGGTCATTGAAGTTAAAGCAGAGGAAGAAACAGAGGACAAGTCTTTAATTATGGAAAAAGAAGGAAAAAGTTTTCCTTTGATCACACAAGACAGAGAATGTGAGATAATTTCCATTGATGAAGAGGAAAATCAAGAAGGAGAAGAAGAAGTTGAATTGCTAAGTGCAGAAGAATTGAACAAGAAATGTGATGATTTTATAAGGAAGATGAAAGAAGAAATTAAATCCGAAGCTCAAGAACTTATTATGTTGGTTCAGTATTAAAATTAGTAGCTAGAAACTGGAGTTCAGGAGGAAGAAGAAGAAGACTTAATAATTAAGATCCTAATAACTTTGTAGTCTACATAATTTTGATTTTTGTGTACAAATTATCTTGTAATGCAAATTAATTAATTTCTATAGAATTTTGTTGCAATATTGTTAAGTGCATCACAGAGTTATCTGTTGAACTTCTGGAATTCATTCATTTTGACTTGAAACTTAAGGGAATCCCAAAATTCATAGGAATAATTATCACTATCTCCTAGAAAGAAAGGGGCTTTCCTTTTAACTCCTTCAAAATCAAATGGCCACTGAGTGCATAAAAAAAAAAAAGAAGAAAAACCTAATATTTTACCCATCTTTTAAACTTAAACAAAGTTAAAAGTTTATTTCAGTAATAAAAACAAAATGAAACAAGTATTTAAACTTAGGGATCAATGTGAATGTCTAAGTAATTTTTTTTTAACAAGGAGGTATAATCCGTTAACTATTTAACGTAAAAATTTTTTATTCTCACAACAGATGCGCTTTTGAAACTTAAATTTATATTTTCACTCTTCTAGAGAATTGACGTCGGATTATATCGCAATTGATATTTTATAGATTGTCTAGTAAGTTTATCGGCGGATTGTTTATTAAATTTAATTTTTCCTTTAGCGTGGAAAGCAGTGAGCAAGCAAGTACACCACTTGACTTGGAAAGTCTTTGGCAAAGAGAGGTCAATAAAAGATTAAAGTGAATTGATCAATATAGTCTACTCTAATCCCTTTGTTTCACACTACAGATTTCAAACTGGTCTAATTTCTTACATTAATATTATAATATTCATTAAATAAGTGTCTTAAAGATGGGACCATGGCTTACCAAAGGACATATACCTAGTCAATGCCATGTGTCACCTCTTTGATAAGGTTATTTTTGTCGTTCAGTGTAAATTTACATCCTATGATCATCTTCTACCTAGTTAATGAGCTGTATAATCCTTCCTAAGATCTTTAAGATCATGTCTAAGCAATCTTATTAGTTGCCCAAATTTCTATACTAACAAGATCAATAATTTAATTAGATATGTGATCATTTTGATTGGCCAAACAAATCGCTGCCTTATATTTAAAGTCATCTTCCATTTATAATATATGATTAATATATGATTATGTCGTAAAATTACTCTCTTATTTCTTAAATCGTCTTCCATTTGGAACATCTACTAATAATAATTTTAATCCGACAAATAAATTTATTTTAGAATAGATCTAAATTTTAATAAATTCAATATGAAATGGGGCATTTCATTAAAGATAAATCGAGAGTTACTTTGCTAATCCATTAATCCTGATCTAACATGACATTATCAAGTAGAAAATCTGCAAATTAAGAGAAATATGCTGATATATTCAATAGAAGAGAATGCCTGCATAATGAAATGCCCCAACAATTTTACTCCTGAAAATGGGGCAAAAAAGAGAATCAAACACCACCCACTAAATAAACATTAACCCACTTATGAAGCCAACATCTTTTAGTTAAGACAGTTATTCCCATGTCTGAAATTGTAGGAGCAAGATAATGTGATCTTTGGATCTATTCTTCATAAAACATATGATTAAGAAAAGCAAAGAATCTCAATTACCAAGCAAAAAACGACAATGAAACTGACATTCCACCTGTTTAGGTCTCTTTCCAGGGTTACACCCCCAAGCACACGTATATAATTATCAACTTGAAACTCTGAAAAAATGTGGCAGACATGGATTGACACCTGCCTCTCATCAAAATGACCCCACAATTAGATTTGGTCTTCTCTTATAAAACCAAATACAGACAGGAACCTTTCAACTGTTTAATTAACCTTGTCCCCTTTACTGGGCTAATTCAAATTATTTCATGGCTTAATTTAATAAGATATTGTCATTTTACTGTAATGACTGTAGGGTTTGTTGTTGCAGTGATGAGACATGAAAATCAAGTTTAAAGATCATAGTCAAAGTAATTATACTTTCCATGGTGGCATAAAAATGGCTTCAACGTTTTTTAAAAAACAAAAATGATTATGAGATTTTTTTTAAATTTTGGCAATTTTATATAACGCAGTTCACATTTTATTATTCTATTATTGATTCAGTTTCAGCAATACTTAAACATGAAATTGCTAGGTTGATAGGCTGATAATTGTTAATATGAGCTTATTATATAAAATACTATTTCATCCGTTTCCATTTTGTTTGTATGATTTAACAAAACACGCATTTTATTTTATTATTATTAATTTTTCCGCTTTGTGTCGAAGAAAAGAAATAAATTTTGACCTGCCACATCAATACATTCATATTGACTTTCAGGAATCACAAAAATAAAAAAGAAGCATTAGTTGAATTAGCTTCTTGTGAAATATAAAAATGCTCTCGGTCATAAAGAGTATCTCTTATTTATCATACTGCAAATTACTGATAAAAATCTTACAGCCTGCTATGTAGATACTATATAATTAATTCACAAAGCAAATTAGAGGTGACAAATAACTGGGATTGATCATTTTCAGCATGACCAAGAAAGTATATCATAAACCAGATCACCTTCATACTGATTCAGAACATTAGAAGATAAAAACAGTCTTTCTGAATCAAACGAGTGCATCTTTCCACTTGTATTCATTTCCAATCTATCTTGAAAGGGGATGTATCTAAAAATTGCATCTTACATCTTACATCTTATATCTTACACCAGTAAGTCATAAAGATTTCCCATATATTTTTAAGCATTTAGTAACTATGCAAATTAAGGACACCAAAAGGGGTAAATAAATTACCAGCTCCGAATTCTAGGACGTTTGTGGAGAAAAACCAAAAATTTGTATTTCACCACCTCTATTTTGAAAGTGCAAAATTATTGATGTACATAACTAAGCTTTTCTTTTTGTACCTTTGACAAATCAGCATTTCTTCTTCCAGTTATCCTGAACTCTTTAAATTAACAGGAATCGACAGCATATACCCTCCGTTTATCATATCACCAAAGCTAAGATTCACTTATATTGTTATTGGCCATATTCAAAGAGAATTCTTCCATCAGAGGCGGCATAGTCCTAACGTGGTCAACAAGCCCAGAAAGTTCTCGATGAACATAAGAAAAACGTTCTCTGGATACTAATGATTCTGTCAGTAGAGTCGCAGCGAGAGAATGAAAGGCTTCAGCACACTCATCACTGTTGCTTTGAGCATTTTGATCGTCCATGGGTAACAAAGAATGATCCTGTCGCCAACGAAGAAGGAAGTATTTTTCTGGGAGCTGAAAGTAATTCTTGACTGAAAGTACCCTAAGAGAATGCCTACATAATATTCCAGAACGTTCAAATTCCTTGCATGAACAATGAATCTGTTCTTCTGCTGGCATCCAATATACAAGATATTCCCCATCCATTTTCTTGTAGTGACGCAAAAGGTATGATCCATCTGCCATTTCTTGGATTCCATACTGCATGGACAAAATAATTTCCTGCTGTAAGACATTAAAGGCATAAGGTGTGAGAACACTCCGTGCGTGTTCTTCAATAGGCATGCAGGTCTTGATATGCATATACTGCATCACGTCTCTGTTTTGATTTCCAAAATTGGCTGAAATACCGACCTAAGAGATCCACAAACAAAATTCAAAATGCAGCTAATCAAATAGCAAAAAATTAATCAAGTTGTCAAGTGACCAACATACCTGCTCAAAGAATACTTGTAAACATGTTTGACCACTCAATACTCTTTTTAAGAATGAATCTAAAGTTCGTGAAAACTCAGCTGTCATCGTGCGAGCCAGAAAGAAACTTCTGATATAGGAAATTGACCAGGATCCTCGACATGAAAAGAGTAAAGCTATATGCTTATCTGAAGCAAGTCCGAATCTAGCAATCAAGAGATTCCACTGGTGCTCAAAGTCTTCCACACTTTCAAGGTGATACAACATATCAAACTCAGCTTTGAAATCTTCATACTGTGAGCCAAGAGTCAAAGAGAACCAGCTGGATAATTTGGACAGAATGTGCCATATCCATACAATATGTTGAGTGTTCGCCAACTCCCTTCCTATAGCGTCCCTAAGACCTGCATCTATATCTGTTATAATTGTCTGTGGATGTCTTCCTCGCATAAAGCGAACAAAACTCTGTTCAAAAAGAAAAACATAATAAAAAGACATGAAGATAGTCACAAACTGTTCACAAGAATACAGTCCACAAACCTGTAAAGCCCATGCAAATGAATGAGAACTTTCATCTTGCAATAATACACATCCAAATAAAATTGCCTTCCCATGATTATCCATGCCGAACAACACTCCTAGGATCAAACCATATGTGATAGAACGATATGTGGTGTCAAAAACAACTACATCACCATAAACTGTATATGCACGAACAGAGTCCCCAAATGACCATGCAATATTTTCAACCTTTTCATTTTCATCTGTTGTATAATCATATGCAAAATCTGCATCCCTCTCTACCATAGCCTTGCAAGCCTCAAGGAGTTCCAATGTATCGTTCTCCCTCTTTTCGGTGAGCATAGCATCATTTTCTTGGACTGTCTTCTTACAAGTCCGAACAAAATTTCTAACATCCTTCTCTATGAAGGGAAGTTGTCCAGGTTGAACACCCTTTTCTATCTCCAACACCTTCACTATTCGATTAACAGGAAAACCTGCTTTGGATAGCAAAAGAATTCGCTCTTGATCAGCCTCCTGTATTTTCCGATATGCAGGTAGCAAGCGCACTTGGTCATCTTCCAACAATTCATGATTATGAACATTGCTAAACTGTGACACATACCACTGAGCAACACCATCAACAATTTCCTTCGTGAGATACAATTTTGCATCGCATCCACATCGAACTGACTTCCGATCCCGGGGATGCTCCACATTGGCCTTTTTTCTTGGTTGATTAAATCCAGAGCGGTAACAAACAAAATCTCGCCTGTAAATCCCTAAATTTTGGCTTTCAGTTGACCGAGCTTTCCTGATTGAAAATCCATTCTTCCGAGCAAAATTGCTGTAGTATTCAAAAGCGTCATCATCAGTTTTGAAAATTTGACCTACATACGGTGTGAAGACAACGTCCGTTGATGATGATGTTGATGGTGTCTCATTCTTTACAAGTTGAGAGCTCACTGGTGTCTGGTCATCTCCTTCATACTTAATATAGCATTTCCAATCTCCACATGGACACTGTTGGCGTCGAATCCATATATTATTCGACGGCTTCATAGCCATTGTCAGCAAAGATATTCCTAATTTCCAGACCCTCGTGCACTCTATGCTTTCTGTCAAAATGCAGAACAAGAATTAAAAAGAACAATTAAACAATAAAAAAAGACCCCCAATTGAGCCAAAGTAGGTTTAATTGCCAAGGATATAAAAAGGAAAAGGAAAGCAATCAATGAATCTTTATAATAGTAGTCTAGCTCTTTGTAGGACATAAACTTATTACTTGAACATCTCTGTATGTGTGTGTCTATGCGCCCTATTTGTTGCACACTCAGCAACCCAAAAAGTAGATATATGTTTGAAAATTTTTTCACTTTTTCCTTCCTCAAAATTTCCAGCCACTGGACAAAATTAAACTTTGGCAAAGATGGTGAAAGCAAAGAGGGAAGGAGAGAAAGTTTGCTGGCCATAGAATTCAGTACATAACTTTTTAATATATTATTAATCGTTACAAAAGAGAGAGAGGGTAAAACCTGTAACAAAACTGCATAACACATAATTCAGTAGTTCACAGCTCAAGACGTAGGGGAAAAGAAAAAGACGTTGGGTTGCAAATGTAAACATTCCCAGCTGATGTAATCTTATGCAGTTATGCCTAAAGTTGCAGTTGATGTAAAATTGGATTATTATGATATCACTGAGTAGCCACAGCACAACAAATTATCACAAAAAGAAAAAAAAAAAAAAGAAAAAGGATCCAATTCAAAAAAAAAAAAAAAAAAATTGAAGCACACAACAAGAAACGGAATAAAAAATAAAAAATTTAGGTAAATTAACTATTCAAGTTGACACAAAGAAAGCCTACCAATAGAGAAAACATAAATTAAGCTAAATAATGAACACATACCAAAATTCCAAAGCAGAAAGTGAAAATTCAAGTAAAGTATAGAAAAACCAATTCCACATAAGAAATTGAAAACCATGGAAACTGAATAAAAACCCTAAATTATGCTTTAGGCAAGGAAACCTTTTAATAGCTAAACAATGGCAAAAATGGCACACAACAGCAAATTAAAAAATAACAATTGCAAAGAGAAAACCCAAAAGACTGATTCTAATTTCTCAGCCATTAACAATGTGGTAATGCCAAAACCGCCTGCAAATGATGGGTTTTCAGTTTAGATAACAGGGAAGAAATAAATTAGGGAAAAAATTACTAAAACTACTACTTAAATACCCAAAATTAAGACTGATAACTGATAAATGAAAGAATTAGAAGTTGGAAAAACAAGCTTATTGATTATAGATTACGTACCTGCAATAGAAATGTATTACAGAGAAAGAATAAACAATCAGAATAACAATAAGCCCCTTGAAAAGCTGAGAACTTTTTCTTAAGAGAAGTTCTTCACGTCCTCTCTGTTCTTTGTTTACGCTTCGTTTTGGGTTTTGCCAGTGTTTTTCTTTGTGAGAGAAAGTATCTAGCAAAAGTCAAATGGAGGCCCAATGGGCAATGTCAGGTCTATAGCTCCAGTAAGTTTAGCTCTAATTGCCACGTAACTCCATATATATAAAGATTTATGTGGGATCCACTGATGACGTGGCTAGGACTCTACTTTCCTTTTAGAAGGGTTTATGGTTCGGTTTGGTTTGATTCCGTTTAAGAATTTTAAAAAATCAAACTATTAATCACAATTAGTATAAATGCGATTCGACTGTTTGAGGGCTTTTTGAAAAATAATCATTGTTATAAGAAGAAAATAATGAAAAACAACTTCAGTGTTATATATATAAATTTTTGAGTGTTTTTTTTTTTTTGTTATATATAAATTATTTTCTCACCAAAACTCATATTTTGAGTTGAAATTCTATTGATAATGGAACAAATTTCTATTTATGAAGAAAACCATTGATTAGGACAATCATACATTTAAAACAATTTAACATTACTCTGGCTTATTCATAAACAGTCATAGTTATAGGATGGATGCCTGACCTTCTTCCAAGAATATATATTACTGTCAAAAGAATAATCTGTACAAGTATCTCCTGAAATGGCAAGTCAATTATATTCATAATTGCATGAACAGTTGTAATAATTAAAAAGCTAAAACCTATGAATTTAACGCTATTTGATAGCCAACAACATGCTTCTGAAGTTGCCAATTGCCATTCCCAAGGGCTAAAGAACAAACTGCAGAAAATACAATGAACACTATCACTGTAAACTTCAATTCGTCTTGAAAGACTATGCCAATGGTTTAGACCCAATGTCAGCAAATCCCTCTTCCACTTCTGCAGCTAATAATTGATTATCCTCATCCTCATTGTCAAATGCAGTTACGCTCATAAACTTCTGACAATTTTGTTTTTGTTTGGATATGCTTACCCCATACCAGATATTCCACTTCACAGATTGGCACGCCTCGCCTCGCCTCGTCTTGCCTCGCCAACGCCGCATCTTCATAAAGCTGTATGTAGTTTGTTGTCATCATTCGATCAATGGATAAAACTGTTCAATACAGGCAGCAACTCTTCTGCAGCTTGACAAAAGAACAGGGCATGACGTGAAGCTGCGCAACACGATTTCCAGTAGCATGCAGCTCTGAAGCAAAAGCTGGTTTTTAATGCTGAGCTATTTCATTATTACTTAGATGGTAGAGAACCAACTTTGTGAAGCTGACAGCAGAAATTATTTTTCTCCTTTACTCATGAAGCCATTATGTCTGGTTAGCCAATGGAAGTTCTATTAAGATAATGAAAGATGACTGTTCTGTTTCTCTGAGATACTGCACGGTTCCATTCATAATCTTTACAAGCTTCTGGCTGATGTATAAGCCAAGTCCTTCTCTTGAAACACCCTGGTTATGGTGAAACATCTCTTGGATTAAATGTTCTGGAATCCCAGGGGCTGGATGTGAGATACTGCCACATCAAACAAACCAACAATCAAATTCAAAAAATTTGATTCATTTATTCTTTTATTTATTTTCAAGGAATGTTAAAACATAATCTATCATCATTTTCTTTCTTGTCACTAGCATTTGAGGGCATAGGTTCAAAACTTAGAAAATAATTCAACAAATAACTTGAAATTGGATATAAAAGAGAGTTTAATACTCCATCAATATAAAGAAAGGATAATTACTTAAATTTCAGATGCTAAAAAAAAGTCTGGGAAGAAATATGATGTGGTTTATGGTATGATAATACAACCATTATTACGAAGAACTAGGGTTCTCAACTTAAGACTGACATCTGAATGATCTTAAGTAAGAAATCCTTGCAAATATTAATTGCTACACAATTATAAGTTACATCGTGATTCTAATTGAGGAAGGGACCAATTCCGAATAGCAAATTCTAAAGCGTGTTGATTCCCGCTCTCACTACATTCCCAGACTCCCCAAATTTGCAAAGAATCAAATGAGGAAAGCATAATGAATAATTTAAATGATACTCACCAAAATTCGAGATGAACAAGGTGAATATTTGTCCCTATGCGTTCCTTTCTTGGAATTACCCTGAATGCAATTGATGATCCCTCAAATGCAGGGGTAAAGAGGAGTGTGTTTGTTAAAAGATCTGAAAGGACTTGCTGAAGCCTCAAGTTATCTCCATACAAGTTCATAGATGATAGTTCTGCCGGTAAATCACGAATAATCTCCACCTGCTGCTGCTGGCATAGCATCATTGCTTGTTTTATGACGACTTCCAGAGTTTCACCAAGGTTAAATTCTTCGGAGTTCAATTCCATATAGCTGCAATTTGGCATCACAATTATCAAGTTGTTCAAAAAATTAAGGTGGAAAGATACCAACAACACAAGATATTTAGAATTGGTTTGTTAATCTAACTTGACGCTCACTACAACAGTTACAGACAAAATTCCAATGTAAGAATTCATACCATTCCTCAATACTCTCAATATCAGTGTCATTTACAATCTTGTTTAACTGTTCTTGACACAAAATGCTCATTTTCAGAAGCTGTTTTTGTTCTTTGCTTAAGTCTGAAGTCCCCATTAGATTCTGCATTAGCATAATTCCATTTAGAGGTTTCCTTACTTCTTGGCGAATATATTCCAATTTATTAAGGCTACTGGCTGCAGCCTGTTCTGATATTCTCTGCACCTGTAGAGCATATTGAAGTTCTGGACTAGCCACATGCAAAAAGAACAGAACCCCAGTGATCCTTCCCTCTGTATCAGTTCTTTTGCTTGCAGATACTAAAGCTTCAACATATTTACCCTGCTGATCAAAGAATCCAAATAACAACTTATCTGCATCTTGACCTGCCATTACTCCATTTAGTAATATCCTGAGTTTGGTTAAAGTATCATTACCTTTAACCCGACAGCCAAAACTGTTGACTGTGAACACTTCCCCAAGAAGCATTCGGCCAACAGCTTCCTCCCTCTTCAAACCAGACAAATTTTGCATTGCATAATTCCACTCCAAGCATTGACCATTCTCATCAGTCATAAAAATTGGAGGAATAAGGGCAGTTGGACTCCGTAAAATTCCAACATAATCACCCTGCATACGAGTATATTTCTCCATAACTATTTTTTCCTGTGTAAGGTCTTGAGCAATAAAGCAAATTCCTACCACATTTCCCCTTACATCTCGACTGCAACATGCATTAACTACCAAATGTACAGGACCACAGGTTTCCTGAGAAGCAAAGGTCTTAAATTTGATTTCAATGCTCTTCTCTTCCATACCTGCAATATATTATTAAAAAATCATAATAAGGAAATTCATGACAGGTTAAAAGAACAAGAAGATAATAGAAAGTATGTCCCAGTGCATGAGGCTTCCGACATTGCAAGGAGGAGACATTACAAGATAAATTTTAACTGTTTCCTTTCTCCTTTTTCTTTTCACAGGTTGAGTGATTAGCGGTGGAAGGGAAAGAAGCAACTAGAAAGGATAGGAGGAGCTCAATCATTAAGTTTACTAGAAAGCATGAAAAATATAGAGTAGTGATGATTGATTAAAAATTATTACCTCTCTAGTTTCTTTTGAACAGCTGAACAGTGTGACAGATATTATAAATAATTTTTGTGCTAGTTAAGAAGGGAATATATGTATCATAGTTCAATAGAAGGTCCAAGTAACCTTGATAACTGAATGACATAGCACTTCATGCAATTAGAAAAGTGGGTCCATAAGTGGAACCTGAACTAAATACCTTTTACATTCAGCTGAGATTCATTAATGCCAAAGTAGACATCCCATGCCAGACAACACAAAAAATAAGCACTCTACATCTAAATTTATGCATAAATCCACTTCATCATAACATTCTAATCTTCAAATATGACTCCACAAGTAAGAACCATCCAATTAGAATCAGATATAAGGAATATATGCAAATGTAAGCAATATACTTTGGTAAAAGTTACATGTACAATGTCACAAACATTTAGCAAATTTGCATGATTTGTCTTATATAAATCATAAGCTGTCCAAGATAAGTTGTAGAATCACCTTTCAAAGCTGCCGATAGCATTCTTGTAATTAAATTGACAGAATCACCCTCGACAAGATCAACTAAGGGGGTGCCAATAGCTTGGTCAACAGACAGACCGGTAAGTTCAGTCGCTTTGGAATTCCACCCATTTATATTACCCAAGACATCTACAGCCATGATGGGAACAGCAGCTGTCTCAATAACACGAACCATTTCATTTGTGAATATGTGTAATTCATCCACCCTTTGTATTCTGTCATCAACTGATGTAACATCCACAATCATTTTGGAATCATCTACAGCCTCATTTTCTAAGGTTCCTCGCAATATTAGCTGTAAAGAATGGATGGCATCCATTTCAACATCTTCCCAAGGCAAGGATCTCCATTTGACTACCTCCAGAAAAGCCTTGAATGATGATCTAGGGTGCATCTTTTTTGCATCATCCTTGGCTTCAGGATCATGCTTTGCACCACCCCACTTGATCTCTTTAGCAGTATGGGACCTAAACCAAAAAAGGAAATCTTTTGAAGTGATCCTAATAGCAGCAATACCACAAATTACATCACCAAGAATTGATGCACCTGGATAACCAGCTTCCATAAGGCTGTCAGTACTTAAGCCTGTACTTTCACTGTGGTACTCAAGAAGCCATTCAGCTATATCTCTTATCTGTGCCTCTGTGGGGGTAGCACCAAGCAACCAAAATTTTTTCTTGAAGTAAAGTGCAGCACCATCACACTTGACAAGATCCATGACATTAGGAGTTTGAGTAACAATTGCCACAGGATCATCCCTTAGGAGCATGTCAGAAAGTAAAGTTTGAGTTTGCAAGACATGCTTTTCCCTCATTTGAGCTGCCAACTTCATTTCCTTGTTGATCTGAACACCAAAGACTTGGATCAAGAACTCACAAGCATACCTCAAAGGAAAAGGAACAAACCTGGGACTAGTGTGATGGCAAACCACCAAACCCCACAGTTTTTTTCCCTTTTGCTGATCAGTTTCCATCTCATCATCATCCTCATTAATTGTCACTGACATCACAAGAGATGCAATTGAGCCCATATTTTTCATGTATTGTGCATGACAACCATGAGGAGATCTCAACGTGGATCCACAAAGACTTAATGGTTGAGCCAAGCTCTGGTTTTGAATTACTTTTACTGGGGGGGCCAAACAATCACAAATCATCCGAATCTTGTTTTCCATGAAGAGGAATCTTGAAGCTTGTGGTATATCAGTAGCTGGAAAATGCATACCAAGATAAGGCTCCAAATCAGGTCTACGGCACTCTGCAACAACTTCCCCATGCTCATCTTCATGAAATTTATAAACCATCACCCGGTCATAACCTGTCAAATCACTAACTTCCTTAACCAAAACATCATGAAGTAGTGACATATTCCCACTGGGCAAAGACTGTAACCTTGAGATGGCTTTGGCAGCAAGTTTATATGATTTCAGTGCCCCTGCAGCTGTGATTGGCACGTCAGCTGGATTAACTGGTTCTAAATCTATAACCAATCCCGCATCAATTCTATGCAATATTGCGTAAAAGGGCTTGCCAGAGGTTTTACAATGGACCAATATAGGATTAAGAAGATTAACATCTGGAAAATTAGCTGCTTTCTGCAACGCTGCTGAACCTGGAGATCGGAAAAGTGTTAGCACATTAGTTCCAAAAGTTAAAGCTTCTTGCTGCTCGATGCTTGGAACAGCATGTGGTGCCAAGTCCAACATCTCTGGGGCATTTTCACTATAAGCAAGAACCTTTAAATTTTTCTCATCAACAGCAATCATGGAACCAAATGGTTGAACAAGTCCTCCTCTCTGCATCTTTTGGAGGTAAGCCAATACAGTGTCAGAAGGAACATTGCTAGTTGAACTTGAAATGTTGAAATCAATTGATGTAGAGTAATCAAACCGAGAGTCTTCAAAGTCCGCATGGAATTTAGCATCGATTGGTGTCTGTGCTACCACACGAGCAATTTCCCTTGATCGAGCAGAACTGCTCCTTGCACTATTAGCACTAGTATTATTGTTTGTTGATTTCGATAACATCTCTCAAAACCTTGTTTCTTTTCAACTCTTCCGTTGCTCTAGTAGCTCGTTCTATAATAAGCAACTTACACCCTCCAAAAATTAAACCCTCAAATCTGTGCTTAAAACACAAAAAGTTCACTAGAACAAACCAAAATCACTTAAATCTTCCACAAACTTATTGTCTAGTCTTTGCCGCCTCGAATCTACTGATCCAAGGATCATTATGAAAGTAAGAAAGAGAAACCCACCAACAATTCCCATGAAACCCATAAAAGGGTGGACAAGAAAAAGAAGGTAATAAAAGAATCCAAGTAGTGCCCACTATTTTATTCTCAACCAAAAAGCCATAAAGAAAAAAACAAAGGTATACCAGCAAATAGGATTTCTCAGGTATATCTCTACATAGTCAGTTCAGCTTATCCAAAAACAAAAACCCCAGATAAACAAACCCTTAAAAGTGCAAAAATTCATTAGTAGATAAATTAGGAAAACCCTCAGCAAAACATTATACAAAATCCCTATACTACCGAAAGTAAGTTCAATTTACCAAAAATTCAAACTTTTCAGTTCAAACCAATAAATCCACTTCAATTCAATATTAAGAAAACACACATAATTTCGAAGAAATGTAAAATTATACTACATATATAAATAGATAGAATATTGTCGGCCTGACTATAAAATTTGTAGGCATGCTCAGCTGCGCGTGAATCCGACCCATTTTTCTAATCCCAATTCTTCTGGATTACGATAAATCAAGATTCAAGAAGCTACTTGCCTGTTTTCAAAAAAGTACTTGCCTTTTTCTTTATCCCTCTTTATATTTTTCGGACGTCAAGTCGTTTGTCTGGTTTTGTCCGCTACACTTCGATTTCGAGCTATAAGGAACACTGGTGGATCAATGTTTGATTGCTTCGGGAAACTGACAATTGCATCAAGGGATTTGCTACATTGCCTGCAAGAAAACTTAAGTTATGTCTTGCTACAGGATTATAAAATAAAAAATTATATATAAATAAAAAAATTATATATATATATAATATATAGTATATTATATATTATATATATATATTATATATATTTTATATGTATATATATTTTACTATTATATTATCTATATCTATCTGTATTATATATAAACGTCGGAATAGGGCGAATAATAAGATTTTTGATATCGTCCTCAATAAAATTTAGAATATCTTAAAATAGCCTTAGTGGTAGTCAATTCGAAAATTACATTTTTATATTAATGAGTGTTTAGATGAGTGGTTCGATATTTTTTTCTCTTAGGTGAAGTCGAAGGTTCCATCCTCGTGGATGGAGCAAATATTCATTGTAAGCACTTTATCCTTTCTTGGTCGACAAGACGAAAAAAAGAAAAAAAAGTATGCTCTTCTTTTTTTTTTTTATGGTTATAGAAAAAATTGTGGGTTATTTGGAGAGAATGTAACGTTTCTTTTATGTAATTTTTTTTATTACTTAATTAACTTATTTATTTATTTATTTTATTTTAAATTTGCAACTTAAAACAATAGAAAAATAAAATATTTGAATAAACTCATTAATGTTGGATCCTAGCATGATTTGTGTTGTACTTTTCATTTATTGATTTGGCTTTTTTTTTTGTCCATCAAAATCAAATTTAATTAAATTATAGCATTTCCAGAGTTATTTTTGAAATTGAAATTGATAATTTTTTTAATATAATTTTAATTATTTAATTTTATTTCTTGTTATACGTTGAGTTCTTTAAAAGAATTGATTTCTTAATAAAAAATTTGTTATTTTTATTTCTTTTTGTTATTGAATTAATTTGTAACCACTATCATTTTAATTTAAGTAAGAAGATTTATATCTCTCTTGCAATAAATAGATGGTAGTAAGAGATTTATATCTCTCTTGCAATAAATAGATGACCTCCTAATTAAACATTTTTAATTTTCTTGATATTTTTTTCTTTTATATTCCTAAATATATTTTACTTGAAAGAAAATGGTGTTTATGAAATTGAAAAAATTAGAACTATATATTTTTGTTTTGGGTCATTTTTTGGGTTTGAAGAGTTTGTGTGTATGTTCATATATTCCTTTCTCTAATGCACTGAGTAAGTAATACTATGACTATAGCCAAAATGATTACTATTATTAATTCAGATCATCTTCTCATTTCTTTTTTTACCTACCAGTAAAAAAAAATTATTATTATTTTTCATTATAGCTGTATATAGATATTGATTTAGGATTGAGTGATAAATTGATTTTCTTTTTGAGCATCTATCAGAGTTTTAAGAATCTATATTTATAAATTAGGAACTGAATGATTATGTATAAGAATTGGATTAAACTTTATTTTGAGACCATTTCATTATATAAAAATAGAATTAAATACATGAGAAATAATATTACAAGTAGCTTACATGGCAAAATCTAATACAATTAACCAATTGTATTTATTGTAATCTAAATAAATTTATGCTTTAATATTATATAGATAAAAAATTAGAAGAGTGTAAAAAATGAAAATATAACGAGCATTGTCAATGTGCAACACACGTCATAAAAAAACTAGTACTATATTTAAAAGTGAAAATGAGGGGAAAATAATGGGATTACCTATATAATCCTTAATAAAATTTAAAATGTTTTAAAATACCTTAATGGTGGCCATTTCAAAAATTATAGTTTATTAGTTGATTGGATATAATTTATTTTTAAAATTTATTTTTTAATAAATATATATGATAATGAGACATTTAAAAATTTTTATATATATATTTTTTGAATTTACTATTTATTTGATTTTGTTTTGATTATAATTTAAAGCATTTTATTTAGGAGGGAGATAAAAATAGAAAAAATATATTTTCTATTAATACTCTCTTTTTCTTTATGTTTGTATGGTTTGATTGGATATATTTTTTAAAAATAAATTTTCAAATTGAATAAAATTTTAAATATAAATTTTTGAAATTTTTTAATATAAATTTTGAAAATATATCTGCATATATGCTCACGACCCATTTCCAGGACCGGGACCGGCACTAAGGGCCCAGGTAAGGCTTAAGGCCTCCCGAGGCCCGTAGTTAAAGCCTGAAACACTACAAATTTGCCTATTCTCAATAAACATTTTAAATATTTACAATTCCCCTTGCTTACAATACTACTATAGTTATAATAACAGGCTCACAGAATTATTCCATCTATAATAATACACAACTTAAAAGTAGTACAAGTTCGTTAATAACTGCGGTAAATTCTACAACTGCGGAGTCACTAACTATTTGGTATACATAGTTTTTTTTATACATATAGTTACATAGCAAAATATTTATGGAACTAGAAAAATTTCTCTATTGCCCTGCGTCGAACAAACATAGCCTAAATCGAATTAAAGGAAAAACTTACTTCCTGAAAAAAAATCAAACAAGACATGTGAGTTTTCTAAGCAGTAGTAATTATTGCACAACACACGCAGTCACACAAGTGTGTAAAAATATCAACCTAGTCATCCGACTAGGTATATGCTCACACAGCCAGCCACACAAATGGCATATCACCAGCACTCACAATTATTAACATCTTCATATAATCACATCACGTGGAAATTAGTCAGTGGAGTCACCGAACCCCCGAACCCCGATGAGCCGTCCTCCCACAAGGGCCTTCATCCTCTCACATGTGGCACAGGGAGCCGATCCCGCATACTGGCCGACCGGTCTAATCCTCACTTGACCAGCCCTCTCATTATTTTTCCTTCCCATTCTTCTCCTTTTCTTTCCATACCAAACAGGAGGCAACAACGGTCGTCTCCCATCAAATCTAAAGATCATCAGGCGCTCACAACAGGAGGCCACAACTGCGGGCTGCGAATCAAATCTAGATTATCCGGTGCGCCCAATAAAGAGAAAAGCCACCTGTGGTTAACAATAACGGTAACGGTAGGTGCACACGGGGGCGCCGATCTCCCATTTACGCCGGCTAACAGAAAAAACAGAATCAGGAATCCATATAAGAAATCAGGATAATAACAGAATCAGAATCAGGATCCCGTATAACAGAAACAGTCCCTCAACAAACCCATGGTGACCCACTTTCATCCCAATTCCCACCACAAACAAAAGCAAGGTATAACTGCGGAGTTTACTGACGGATGTATACATATAAGTCTTCGGACATTTATCTATTTAATTGATCAATACTAAAATTAGCGAATTTCTTTTTTAAGGGCAAAGAGCAGAGTTATAGCTAGGATTTAGAAAATGCTACTTCCTGAAAGATTTGAACAAAAGAGATGTGAGTTTATTAATGAATAATAATAGTTAACAATATAAAGTAAATAGTGATGATAGTAAAATAATTAGAATACTTTATTTACTATGTATTAAGTTATAGAATTATTCTAAATAAACCTATTACTTTATATTGTTAACTAAGACTAGTTCTAAGTTCTATCCGAAATTTCGGCAGCACTCTCCCCTAAAAATTGGGGCTATTTTATCCTACTCAATATCACAAATAATTATAATATATTAATCCATTCAATGCACACAGCCGCATCGTCGGGCGATCACAGTTTAAAATTTCCCTTCCTCCATCAAATATAATGTCAACATTCAACTATTAATTCACAACTTATGAATAATCTTCAAACGTGTTCCAAATAATATATTACTGAACATTCTTTTGCTTCACAATAAATATAATCAGCTTTTTTAGCTAATTGACAAATAAATGAAATCTTTTATATATATATATACATATAAGAACACAATTACAGATAATTACAAATTTTATGTTCTATTACAAATGCTACTTGCTTGGAAATAATATCGGAAATTCTTTTAAAGACCAGCTTATAAACTATCCTATAAGTTCAAACAAATGGCAATACCTATCTTAAATGCAATTGTCGTATTTTCCCAGTTAGAAGTTAATGTGTTTAAGATTTCCCTCGATCCAATGTTTGAATTCTAACTTAATAACTAATTTTGATTTATTAGTAAGAATATTTATTCATCTTATCTTAGTATAAAATAATTTAGCATTTACTAAGTTTTGGTACTACACTTATTTGCACCCAATAAAAATCAATAGTAACTCGTATCCTATTATAACTCTATTAGTCAACTAATGATTTCTAATAATACACTTGGCCTATTAGCTTTTAAATATTCCGCCGAACACCCGGCAGCATCTCTCCTTAATCATACTCAACATCTAGTTTAAATTACCGTAAAACAATCGGCAGCCCATCCACCAGGCAAAGAACTTTAAATAAAATCCCCATCCTCCTATCATTATCAACCCACCATTCTTCGTTATACAGTAATTATCAAATCAATATCTTGAATCCATAATTTACTATGAATTACTTAATAAGTAAAAACAAAATAATTTCTTTAATTGAATCAATAAGTCTTATTTATATACATACCCATTATTGATTTTCACCTTTCAAATTTAATCACAATCAAATAAATGGTTTGTTTGACTGCACCTATTTATATTTCATGACCCATAACCAATTATATACAACACTAAATCCTAGATTTTCCTTTAATAAGCCAAGTATAACTTCGATTTAATCTCAAGTCATGCTAACAAAATAAGCTAACAACCAATTTATTCATGCGATTAGAATACCCAATAACTTAGCTACTGCATTTCTACCAACCCCTCCTTAATTTAACTTTCTGTGATATTTACGGCTTAGAAGCTTAATTTTCGATTTCTGTTGTCTAGTGCAAAACTAATTGCAAAACTAGATTCTATGTAAAAATTGGACTATACTGTCTATGAGGAATTCCGGTCACCGAATCCACCGCTGTCGCCGTCGTCTATGGTGGCCGGAGGTACCTTGGTTCCTAAATCTTGTAATTCTTACGCCAAGACGCAGCAAATTTCATATAGAACTCAGTTCTATAGCCAACTACTACAATTTATGTCAATATCTAACAAAATCCCAATTTTTATTTCTT